ATGTGAAGATGATAATATCTGCATTTACTTATTCAGTAAAAGGTATGCCCCTTGGTTTTTTACTAGTAAGTGCTTGCCTTTCGGAAGGAACTTAGTCACTGTGTCTGCCACAGTCAGCAGCTGTTCCATTACTGAATCAGGCTCTAAAAACCAACCAAACGAAGGGAGTCCTAAACGAACCAGAAGTAACTAGGAAAAAAAAACCTCGATTTTCTCACAAATGTTACAGAGAACTCCGTAAAATGTATTCCTAAAAATAAAAGTTAATATCTGGCATTTGAGATTAACACAGGAGCTGGCATTACCGTAATACCATGGTGTTCCTGGTATTTGCAGTATCTGGTATTCTGGAAGACTAAAAGTGCACATATGCACGAGCCCAGCTATGGAGAGTTCTGCAGAGCCTCTGTTCACACATGCATTTACTCTTTCCTGGCTCAACAGACAACTGAGTGAGGAGGTAAAGAATTATCCTGAAGATGCATAGTATTATTTACAATGGTGGGAAAATCTTTTGGCTCTCAGGAGCTCCCTCTCTGCACTCTGACGCATTAAATCTCATTATCAGCACTTGAAGTAACTAATTCCTTTGACCCTTTACATTTATTCAGAAAAAAAAACCAATAAAAGGTCAAAGAGCAAATAATAAAGAAAAAAATATTTGAAACTTTACTGTGTTTTCCTGTGAAGAAGGAAGTAACAGGCTATAGGCAATAAAGGGCAGAGAAACAGGTTGCCCAGAGAAGCTGTGGCTGCTCCATCCCTGGCTGAGTTCAAGGTGAGGCTGGATGGGGCTTTGAACAGCCTGGTCCAGTGGAAGGAGTCCCTTCCCAGGGCAGGAGGGTTGGAACCAGGTGGTTTTTAAGATCAGTTCCAACCCAAACCAGCCTGTGACTATTAAAATGCAGAAGAATCCTTCATTTCAGAAAAGCAGCATTGTAATAATCAGTCTGTACTTCAGCATATGTGTAATATATTTACCTGAGGCTGCAGGGAAAACACTAGTCCTAAGAGAAGTACTGGCAGTAAATTACATGGGTCAATGTTATGGAATTTTTAGCATTCTAATTTAGTCTAAATAATTTTTCACTTCTGCTTTTCTCATGATCTTATTTTAGAAGAATAAACTTGGATTATTTTCTAATTGGTTTGAGTAGTTCTATGTTTAAAGTATTTAAATTAAAATTAAATGTCTTAGGTTTGTAAACTGATCATTTTAGAGTAAAAATACAGATGTGTTATAAAACTGAAGTAAACAGAATAGGGGTGGTTTTTTTAGGATATACTTATCACCTTTTCTTCCTAAATGTTTTTATAATGTTGAAAGAATTTTGTTTTCATTCTTAAATCAGATTATATTTTTTTCACTCTTGATGTAGGTGGCCTCTGGACTTTATTGCTTTTTGAGACTAGAAAACTCTTTCTAACAAAGGACCTTTTTGATGAGTTGTACTTCAAAACTGAAAGCAGCAGTTTCTTAGGGAAAAAAATGTTTCTGTTCCTGTAACTGAACATGGAGGGATTCTGAGCAACAGCCCATGTTGCAGCACTTGCCTTTCTGGTGTGGCAGCAGAAGAAAATGGGGGTTCTTTTCTATAAATTGTTAACAAATACACTATCTCACTAACCATAGCTAGAAAATCACAATGGTAATTTTGGACTAATGGTCATTCACTTTTTTTCAAGTTTTAGTTTTACTATGAAACTCTATTTAAAAACTGTAGGACACTAGGAATTACTAATGAGTTATCAGAAGACTTCACTCTTAATATTAGAAGTCAGATCGGATCATGATGTCAGAGCAACCCCCTGCTTGTTTAAGGTGCAAGTTATATGTGAATTTTGCTACAGTGCTATCTACAGGTAAATGTCACTACTTCTGCATTGAGAAAATGAGAACCCAAGTTTTTCTCCTTTGTTGTAATTTACTTCCTTTAGAAAGAGAATGGCTGAGTCACATCACTTAAGAAAATAGTGATCTTCAACCTCCTCTGCAGTCAACAGGCAGCTGCCTCAGACTGCTTCTCTCTTGGTTGCATGACGAGCAGCAACAAATTAAGTGCCTTGGTTTCCTACGTGTAGGTGTAAGGAACCCAGCCTGGAATTTTATTTTTATAATGTTTATTAACCAACATTTGCAAAAATATATCAGCTTTGAAAGATACAACTGACTTTCCTTACAAGAGCTGTGTTGCTTTTTTTTGCTGGTACGTTCAATGTAGTCCAGTACTGTTACTATTCTTCATAGGCAAATGCTAAACCTTTTTTTACTATAAATCATTGTACTGTTGCTCAGCTGATTTTGGGTGTTGGGCTTTGTATCAGTTTTACTGAGGTATACATTCCTTGGCAAAAATCTTTAAATGGAAATACAACTTATTTCCATGTAGTTACATAGAGAAATCAGCTTGCAGTCCTAAAACTAATTTACTTTGCAGTGCATTTTGGTCATATAAACACACATCCATGCCTTTACATATGCCACAGTAATTGGAAGTACCTGTGGGATCCCATAACAAAACCAGGCAGCCAAACTGAACCAGAACTTTTCAGTGACAGACCACCAAACTCCATTCCTCTCAATGTACCAGCCACCCTGACCACAGCATTAGCAGGCAGTTCTCATACTCTCCTAGGACTCTGCCAAGTATATAAACTGGGGGAGTCACCCAGAAAGCCCAGATCACTGCTCGGGTCAGGCTGGGTGTCTGTCAGAGGATGTTGGTGAGCAATTGCACTGTGCACCACTGTTGTTTGTGGGGCTGTTTTCTTGTTTATACATTTTCTTTAATTTCCCTTTTTATTATTATTAGTAGTAGCAGCACAGGTAATATTATACCTTACTGTAATTATTAAACTGTATCATTAAACTGTTCTTATCTCAGCCATGGGGTTTACTATTTTTCTGATTCTCCTCCCCATCCCAGCGTGTGAGGGAGTGAGTGTTTGTGAGTGGCTCCCGTGGTATTTAGTTGTCAACAGGCATTAAACCATGACAGAGGGCATTTGGTTATTCCCTGTGATACCACAACATTCAAATGGATATATGAAAAACTTATTCAAATATATTATCAGAGGTACTGAGAAAATATGTGTGGTAATCCAGAAGACAGTTTACTTACATTGAACTCAGTGGGGGCAAAATTCACACTTACTGGAAGAGCACACACATGCTACAAAGCAACCAAAGCAAAAAGCAACAGGCATACCTCTGGAGCCACTGGAATCCAGCTCCACTCCATATGCCTGGAACTCAATTTTGAAACAATTATTTAAAAGATAAAATATTTCACATAGTTAAAGCACATCACTGGGTTGTAATACATGCTCAGAGAAGACATGCAGATATGAAACTATTCAAAACAACACCACTGTAAATTCCAGACAAAAGTGAAAGCTTCCAGCAAACCCAATTTTCTGGCTACATTAGAAATAAAAATCCTCAAACTCCCCAAGACTTTACTATGATGTACCCTCATGGAGAAGACGGAATTGACTGCTTTGTTAGGGAGCTCGCTTTAAAGAGGCCAAATTTAGATCTAATGGGATGTGTAAATTGAGGAGGGGTTGGTTGCAGGAAGCATCAACAAATAGGAGCTTCGGGTACCTTGGGGTTACCCAGCTGCACAGCAGCCGTTTTTCGCAACACCTGCAATCCTGCCGTGTTGCACACGGGAGCAGGGTCCCTTTGTAACGGGGGAAGGAGACAGGTATTTCGGCAATAAACACCGTGCAGTACCATTGAAAAGAGAACCTTCTGTTCGCGAGCAGCAGAGCACCCGAGACATCCCCGCACGGAGCACCCTACTGCACCCACAGGGCGCCGCGCTACTCGGCGGATAGCCAAGCCTGCCGCCCTCCACCTACTGCCGGGCGTCCGGCCCTCCGCGGTAGCCCGGCGTAAGGGACCGTAAAGGCACCTGACGGAAGCGCCACTGCTACCACACCGTGCCCGTGCCCGGCCCCGCAGGCAGGCGGCTCCGCTCCCGCTCCTTCCTCCACTGCCCCGCTCGGGGACCGCCGGGCCCGGGAGTGAAGCGGCGCGTAGGGGGCGGGGACCGAGCCTCTTCTGCTGGGTGAGGAAGCTGCAGCGGGAGCCCGGCTGGAGGAGCAGCAGCGGCCCGTGCTGCAGGTACCGAGAGAGAGCAGCACGGCCGCGGAGCGCTGCCCACGTGGGCCTGAGGGAGATAGGGCCGCCGATGCAGGCGCTTGAACCGCAGCCGCATCCCGCGCTGCCCGGAGGCGGGCCGGGACACGCCTCGGGCAGCGCTCCTTAGGCAGGCAGGCAGGCGGGCAGGCGGGCAGGCGGGCAGGCGGGCAGGCGGGCGGGCGGGCGGGCGGGAGGGAGAGGCATCTCACGGCCGGCTCGGCCCCACCTCCCTCGCAGCGCGGGACCTTGCCGTTCAAACCTTGCCTTGCTGGTGGCGGCCTGGGCGGGAGCGGGAGGCCTGGCTGAGCGCTGCAGAGCCCCGCGCCTGCTACCGCTTAGGGACGGGTGGGGTAAGCTGCTTCTGGGTCCCCGGATCCGCCCCCGTGCAAGGGGGTGGCCGGGCGGTTTCACTTTCTGGCCTGAGGGCAGGGGAGACCCCACCCTGCGCGCCGCGGCGGGCGACCCTGGGGAGCGCGTCACCGTCGCACGGACTGACGGACTGACGGACTGACTGACGGGGTCAGTCGGCGGGGCGGTGGGTGTGACTGACAGGCGGCGGGCGGAGCTGATTGGCTGGCTGGGACAGACCGGGGCGGAGCGGTTGATTGGCGGGAGCTGCCTGAGAGCGGCGGCGGCGGAGTGTGGCGGCGCGCGCCTGGCGGCCGCTGCGGTCCCGCCGCGCACCCGCCAGCAGGTCGTGAGCGGGCGGCAACGAGGGGCCAAGGTGGGCGCTCGCGGCAGCCCCGCCCCGCCCCGCCGCGCCTCGCTCTGGGCTTTTCCCGCAGTGGGACAAACGCAAGTTTCCCGTTCGGCCGTGACCTCACCGGGAAAACCGGTGCTCACCGTGTCTGGCAAGCGCACCATGGTGCTGAGCGCGGATCAGGTGAACCTCATCGGTCAGGTGTTCGAGTCCTACGTGATGGAGCACCACAGGGACGACATCCTGGGCATCCTAAGGGAGGCCGACGATGAGGCGCACTACCCTGTGGTTGTCGATGCCTTGACGCTCTTTGAGACCAACATGGAGATCGGGGAGTATTTCAACGCCTTCCCCAGCGAGGTACTCACGGTTTTCGACAGCGCGCTGCGCCGGGCGGCCCTGGCAGCGCTGCAGGATGCTGCTGCGGGCTCTCCGCAGCTCAGCCTGAAGCAGAACCTCCACGCCAGGGTGTCCGGTGAGTGGCCGTGACTGCCGAATGTCCATACTCCATAATAAAGTATGGGGATATCATGGGAAGGAGCAAGTTTCATTCAAGGCTTTCAGCAGCCTGGTCTAGTGGAAGGTGTTCCTGCGCATGGCAAGGGGTCAAGAACTAGCTAATCTTAAGGTTCCAACCAAAACCATTCTGTGAGTCTATGATTCTAATGCTTGTGGTTTGGTAGGGAATGCATGGTGTTTATTAAACAGAAAAGAACACATGCAAACACACAAAGTTGTGCAGACCAACCTGGGAAAAGTCTGTGGCCGTCCCCAGTGGCATGTGTGCAATGGTTGGCATTGGATCAGTACTCATACTAAAGCCTATCCATGGCATAAGGACTCCGCAAATCAGTGGCTGGTCTCACATGATTTCTCTTCTAGCCAGAAGGTCTAAAGGAAAAATAGTGAAATACGTGTTCATGGATCTTCCTGCAGGTTGACTTCTTTACCGTGTCACTTGGTTCATAGACCTTCCTGGCGCCAGCCATCTCCCAGAAGGAGCAAAGTCTGAATTCTGAGTTGTCTTGTAACAATTCCACTGAAATTGTCAAATTTTATGCTTAACTAATTCTTCTAAAATTACTTGTTATAAAATTGGAATGAACTGTTGAAACAATCGATCTTTGTTAGAGGATTTTGTCCTTTTTATTCACTACAAGTTGATATGCTGTTATTCTTTATTATTAGGAAACCTTTAGTAGCTTTGAAGTATAGTAAGTGTGGGGTGCAGGTTCTGGGGTTAAAATACCTGTTTTGCTTGTTGTGGGGTGGCACAGTGATGGCACTGGTGACCTTACCAGTCACTTCTGGGTATAGCTATTCGAAGCAATAGTCTGCAAAGCTAGGAGCTGGCAACTTGTGTTTCCTTCCTCTGCCCTGAGTTGGAGTGGTTAATGATCATTCAGTCTCTTGACAGCTTGAACTTGGATGAATCACACTTGTTAAATAGGCCTGTGTTTCATCCAAGTTTATTAAAAATATTGTCATAAAAACACATCAGAAATTGCCTGCATCTGTTATAGTGCTACCTTCTCCAGGGTTTTAGGGAGACTTGCTACCAATTAATGTGTTAAGGAGCTTGTACAAAACTGCTGAATATGTGGTGTACAAGGGTGGCTTCTTTGTTGTACTAGAAGTTGAAATGTTGGGCATCAACCTGTACCTACAAAAGTAGCAGTGAATTAAAACTTTCCCCCTAGTGTTCTAGGATGCGTTTTCATCATTCAGGGCTTCAGCATGAAAACAGGGTTATTTCTATTCAGAGTATGGTTAGTTCATAAGCTACCAGGAAGTATTAAAAGGGAGTACAAGAAGGGGAAGACAATCACTGCATGAGTAGTGGTGGCTTTAAGACATTCTTGCTCCTGTTATCAACCTGCTACTGGAGCTGACGGTTCCTCCCAGAGTGATGCTTTGTCTTAATATTCCCTAATCTACCTCAGGCAAAATTAGCCATGTTTGGTCAAATATTTTAGGAACTGATAAAAGCAAGTTGGACTAGTGAGTGATGAAAGAAGTTAATCAGCAGACTCACACATTACTCCACCACTAAACCAGAGGGAAACTGATAAAGAACAGAGGGTGGTTATCCTTGTGTAGTCCCGCTGGATCAAAGTGACATCTGTCCCTGTAGTTTGGTTTGCTCTGTACCACTGGAAGGCCAGCTGCTGAAGAAAAAAAAGCAGTAAGATGATCTATAGGCTTTTTTTTTCTGCCGAGATTTTCCCATGCTACTGTTATCTTTTAAGTGTCTGTTGGGTTCTGATTACCTTCAAGAGTCTCATCTTGGGGTGCCACTGAATGTCCAACATGAATGAGGAGAAGGGGATGCACTTTTCTCAGCGGGAGGAGCAGGCAACTACCTGGAGTGGGGCTGAGGGTGTCTGCATGTCAGGTTTTGACTGAAGGGAGGAAAAGTGTTTTTTCATGTGCTAGGTATCAGAGTGGATCCTGAGCATGCTCATGCCAACACGGACAGGGCACCTGGGAGTTCAAGGAAGGATCTGGGGAGTCTGAATATGCAGTGATTAATAATGGATGATTTCCCCAGGTTTGCTGAAGAAAGTAAAAGATGAAGTTCTTTGCCTGAATTAGCATTGTAGAAATTTGACTGTATAATTTCTCCTTTTGCTACAAATCTGTTGAAGGATTTTTCCTTACTCACCATTATCCTGAGCACCGCTGTGTCTGTTACTGATGGCCAAACTGCTTCTAATAGTTATTTGTTATTATTAATACAGTAAAGCTAATGCAAAGAGGCACATACTCAGTTAAAGAACTTGTGTAACAGTCAAATATGACTGGAATGAAGGCTCTTTGTTTTCCACACAGACTCTGGTCTCTTCAGTAGTGATGATGTAACCTATGTCCTGACAACAGTGCTGCAGCTCTCTCTAGTGTGAGATATGTTGTGTTTTGCAAAGGTTGTTGAGCTACACCAATACTGAGCTAGGAAAAAAGATACCAAAAATGGTTGGAAAAATAATGGATTTTGTCCTCCTTTTTTTTTTTTTTTTTAATGCAAACCTGTGAGAGAAAAAGAATTTTCAGCAGGTTTGATAAAATATGTAACCAGCTTTGTCACGATCAACCAGAAAAATCTGTTTGCAGTTCTATATAATACCTCATTTCTTTTCCAGAATATTTAATTCCTTTCTATTTTTCTGTTTCCTTTTTTTACTTTATTCTTTTACCTTTTAAAATTAGCTGAATATTTTAAAATATTTTCTTTAAACAAAAGCAGAAGGTCAAACACTTGGCTTAAAAGAATTGAAACAAAATGTTTCAGCATGCCTGAAATCATATAGAAATAGAATCACAGAACAGTTAGGGTTGGAAAGGACCTTAAGATCATCTAGTTCCAACCCCCCCTGCCGTGGGCAGGGACACCTCACATTAAACCATGTCACCCAAGGCTCTGTCCAGCCAGGCCTTGGGCACTGCCAGGGATGGAGCATTCACAACTTCCCTGCACAGCCTGTGCCCATGCCTCACCACCCTTATAAAACATTCAGGTTTGAGAACACTGAAATAATTACATGTTGTCCTTTTTTTAGCAGCCAAGGCTACTGAGAAGATTTGACTTAAATGCACAAATAGTTTTGGTCCCATTAGAAACATTATTTTGGAAGTAAAGCTGAGAAATTATTTTAAGAGCAGACAGTATCTTTTTAAGTTGATAATCTTTAGTGTCTTATAGCTCATATACTAACTTAGGAAGAGGCAATATTTTGATGCTATCCTCAGGTGTGCATATCAGAGATCATTTATTCATAAACACTTTGTAGGCTATTGAGGTGGATGAACTTTCCTGAGGATTTCAGTCGCTGTGGTGGCCACACAGGTGAATGCTGGAGTGGGATGGGTACACTATAGAGCTGACTGCTGGGGTGGAATTAAAGGAGAGCAAGTGGAAAGTGTTCTGTCACTGTTCATTTGATCATAAAGTGAATTTGCTTTCGTTGCATTCATAACCTCTTTATATTCTTTTTATGCCATCTTCCTTGTGCTTGAGGTTTACTGGTATGCAGGGTCCCTTCCAACCCAAACCATTCTATGATTTAAGGTCAGATGCTCACAGACTAGAAATTTTAAATTTGCCTAGACCTGAGAATTCACATAAAATCAAGAGTTACACTTGTTTACCTGCGGGAATAACACTGAACCACAATTAAGTACCATAACTGAAATGCTGCAATTCAGATAAACCAGTTGCAGAATAAATGGTATTTTTCTAAATATCATTTAAATTAATTAATAGACCTGAGAACATCAGATCTCTTTCCATGACTAGAAACTGTTTGTGACTATTCAGCCCTTGGCAAGGGTAGGAGAGTAAAATAGCAACATTTTCTGTTAGTGCTCAGTGCCTGATGATTTTCACTAACTGAGGCCAGTGAATCAGATTTATTTTACAACAGATGAATTGTTGAATCACAGTTATGAAACAGCAATAACAATGTCTACTGTTAATATGCCTGGCATTTTTTCTAGTCTTTCTGTTTAACTGCATTATAACTCCATGTTTTATAAGCTTAGCCTTATGGTGCACTTGTTTTTATTTAACAGGTTTGCCTGTTTGCCCAGAGCTGACTCGAGAGCACATTCCTAAAGCCAGGGATGTGGGTCACTTTTTGTCTGTTACTGGGACTGTCATACGTACCAGTTTGGTGAAAGTTTTGGAGTTTGAACGGAGTTATATCTGCAATAAGTGCAAGCATGTGTTTGCTGTCAAGGCTGACTTTGAGCAGTACTACACATTCTGTCGTCCATCATCCTGTCTGAATGAAGAAGGCTGCAACTCAACCAAGTTCACTTGTCTCTCTGGAACAACCTCTTCTCCTGCTTGCTGCAGAGACTATCAAGAAATCAAAATTCAGGAACAGGTAAAAGAAAAAAAAGAGGGGGGGGGGAAGAGGAGGATATTAAGGTATAGGTGTGCCAAGTACAAAGAGAATTAACTCAGGAAGGCATTTGAGGTGTTAGTTTCCTGCTGGAATAAGGTAACTCATTATATTAGTGATACTGTTGGTGCTTATGTCAGAATTAAATTTATCCCATTTCCACTGGAAAGTTTGACATGCAAAGAGAAGTTGAAAAATTTTACAGGTTCTGTTGCTGTTTAAAACAAATGCCTGAGAAAAATGAGAGAGGCCAGACAGCCTGCTGGTCAGAGATGTCCAGTCAGAGTTAAAAATGTAGGCACATGTTAACTAGACTTGCATTATTAGGTAACTCCATTCAATACTGTATGAAACACCCAGGGTCAGTGCTTAGATGAAATTTCCTTGTCACATCCTTACAACACCAAGTGTGCATTGTTTCTCTAAGTGTTTATAGTATATGATGCTGATGTTCAACACTGCTTTTAAGGACTAAAGCTAGCCCAGTGGTAGCCAAGGCCAGCTGTGGTGCAGTATGGTCAATACAGTATGTTAGAGATTGGAAGGGACCTCAAAAGATCATCTAGTCCAATCCCCCTGCAGGAGAAGGAACACCTAGATAAGGTTACACAGGAACGTAGATACATGGTATCTGCAAATGTCTCTTCCCTTCAGCCAGTACTGAGTTCAACAATTATTGAATATGTGAACCTTACAGAATTTCCATTCATTTTTCTGAAGGTAGCCCTGAGTGAAAGTACAGCTAAGCTGGAGGAGTAAGAAACAACTGGGCCTCTTTTTACAGTGAGATAAAACTGGCACATGAAAATCTACACTGTATGAATATTGAGAATAAGCAAGGTATATTGCAGGCAATGTTTCTGGTTTTAATGTGCTCAGTATCTCTTTCATAAACCTTTTCTAAGATATTTTCAGTTGTTTCAGGGGTTTAGTTTTATAGATTAAGAGGATAGTGGTGCCAATCTACATGCAATGTATGTATGAGAACAGAAATGTATGAAATTCAAAATGAAGCTCTTAAAAGTTCAGAATAAGAAAAAATATAAGGGAATAAAACTCTTTCTAGTAAAAAGCCCCATGTTACATGTTCATATAATGATTTTTTCTGACATACGGTTTCTAGACATTTTCTTTTTTGGCTTTCTGTGTGACGCACAGATCTCTATGACGGGAAGGATTTTCAGCAGCGTGGGCTTATTAAGCATAGTTAAGTTAACCAGGATTGAATTTCACTTGTGTCTCCTATTGAGCTCAGCAAGTACCTGTGTATATGCCACCAGTACTGACAGTGATGTGAACTATTTGTGGCCATTTAGATAATATACAAGGGGGAAATTAACCTTCCTAGGCACCAGGGAGTGAATAAATCTAGAATTCTAGCATGTACAACCATGTGCTGCGGCATGAAAAGGTACTTCTTATTGTTGTAATTGTGCAGTGGATACTCTAAAAACTATTGCAGCCTTTAAGTGTAAATGGAAAGATTGCTAGCTGGAAATAGACAGTGACAAGACACTATAGATTTTGCTCTGGAGAAAAGAAAGAGAATTACAGGTCTTACTGGCACATTTGTCAATATACGTTTTTCTGGTTGTGTGTGGTTTTTCCTTTTCTGTTGTTGATTTAATCCATGACACCCAGGTGTAAACTTACATCTCAGCCTGTCCAATTATGGTTAAGCACCAGAAAAATACATAGAATAATCTTTCAGTATATACTTCAGTGAAAGGTTATCTAACCCATGGACGTGCTTCAGCACCCAAAGTAAACTTTGCATATTGAACAGGTACCTAAAACTATCTCAAATTATTAAAAAAGAACCCCAAAACCCAAACCCCCACCTCTTTCAAATGAGTTTGTTTAGTGAGCTTTCTTCAGCAAGATACTGAAAACACACAGCACCTCCCAGGTTTAAGCACCTTCAGTTAATTTAATGCCCAATCCTGTTTTCATTAACATAAGCGTTAAGCTTCCCTCAGTAAATTCATGGCAGCAGTGGCATGTACACTGTGCATACTGTGTAAGTTTTGTGAGAAAAAAGGAGTCCTGACCTCAGTTCCAGGAAAGGAATGTAGGTCCTGAAGCCAGAGCAGCTATAAATGGCTTTTGAAAGGTGCTGTTCTTAAAAAAGTGCTTTTCCTTTGGTCTCCTAGGTTCAAAGACTGTCTGTTGGAAGCATCCCTCGTTGCATGGTGGTTGTTCTAGAAGATGACCTAGTGGACAGTTGCAAGTCTGGTGAGGATACAGCATATACCTCATACATTTGTACCACACACATTTTTATTTTTACGTTTGAGGTGAATCTTTGCCAAGTAGGCTGTCAGTGCTGAGGCTTCTTGAGTGAGCTACGTTCATTTCTCACATTGCTGTTTCAGCTTGGATGTTAGCATGGCAGTTGAATAGTACTACAGAAAGTGTCATACATCCCCATGTTACATCTTAACTGTTTGACAGACCAGTTTCAGTAAGTAATGTGTTGTGCCACACAGAAAATAGGTTAAGTCTTGTCAGTGTGGAAACACCAAACCTCTTGAGGAGATTGGTCCACATTGTCACACAGCATGTGGTGTGTCTCTGTAGGTTGGAGAGCTAGGTAACCTGACCTCCTATCCAAGGAGTGCTGCAGGTGGAGAAAGCTACTTGGCATTCAAAAAGGAAGCTAATTGTGAGGAGGGTGTATGAAGAAGTGACAAAACCCTCTCATATAGGCACATCCTCACAAGAAATTAATTTCTGGTTGTGCTTTCTCAGAAGAACACTGTGGCCAGAATGTTAATGAGTGATTCTGGAATTCATTACTGAAGTTACCAGAAGTCAAATAAGTTTTGATTAAAATTTTTTATAATAAATCTAATTGAAATAAGAGCTTCTACAGCTGACCATGAATTCATCTTTTCTAAATGAGGAAACAAGCAGAGCTATACCTTGAAGTATTCACCTCCCTTAAACAGAAGTAAAACCACATAGCAACTTCCTACCGTAGACACAAGCAAGCTGCTTAATGTTTTAGACTTGCAGTAACTGCAGGTTTGCTTTTTCTTGATCTTTTTAACCTTATTAACTGTAACAAGAGGATCTCAATTGCATTGTTGTGCATTACAGCTCATACATCTATATACCTCAAGTCAGGTGTTATTTTACTAATTTCTGTTGTTACTTCCAGGAGATGACATTACAGTGTATGGAGTGGTAATGCAGAGGTGGAAACCTTTCCACGAGGGTGCACGCTGTGACTTGGAGCTTGTTTTGAAAGCCAACTATGTTAAAGTAAACAATGAGCAGCTGGCAGGGGTCGTAATAGATGAAGAAGTCCGCAAGGAATTTAAAGACTTCTGGGAAAGGCATAGGAATGATCCCTTAGCAGGTTAGTAGGTGAAAGACTTTAAGTAGGACACATGATCAGATAGAGATTAAATCAGGAGTGAAAATACAGAAACTAAACTCATTTTTGCCCCATTATTGTATCCCACGACTCATTCATCCAGTAATACATTTTCCCCAATATGGGAATATGAAATTGTTACTGGAAAAAAAAGTACCAAACATACTGCATTGATCTTCCATCTTTTGAGACTTCTAGTCAGGTGTTTTCTGAAACATTTATTAACAAGAAATGAGAAATAATATATTGATCAGGAAAAAAAGAAAAGTGTTTTTTAATCAAGAAAGAAGCAGCATGCCTTTTAAAAGAAATAGTGTGGACTGGATCTGCTTTTACTCAGCATAGCTGTTGACTCGGGGGCGAGAGATCTGACTCACTGTCTCTGCATCCCAAATTAAGTGGTGAATCTTCACCAGAAAGCTTAGTACATCTCACCTTTAACCTAACTCTTGGATGCCTAAACCTTTGACTTAGGTGCTGCAGAGCCTTCTATCAAATATGGAGAGAGTCTTCCAATTCACAATGGCTTCCGGAACATCCAGAGTGTTTAGTGTGCCGGCTCCTAAACTTACCATGGTCTGCAGTTAAACACGTAGGAGTTAGTATGAGTTGTGCCTGGAACTCTGTCCCTCTCCATAATCTGAGTGCTTCCTCCTGAACAGCGTGGAAGTTCAATGGATCCTTGGATTTCTGCCACTAACCTGTCTCAGGCTAACACTGTCTTTTAAAACCCTGAGAAGGGCTCAGTCTTCCTTCCTAAAAGACAAACAGGAGGAAAAGTAGGTGAGAATGTTCCCCATGTCAGCTTAAAAATTAGTGCACTCACACAAGAAATTGGAGATCTTGTCAACGACAAAGATGCTTTCCTGGAAATGCAGTTTAATTTCCTGGAAAGCAATTTAATTGCTAGCTTCCTGCTGTTTGGAACAAGAACATTTCTTCTTCCTGCTTTTGGAATGAGAACGTTTTTTTATCACCATGGATAGAACTGTTCAGAAAGTAGTTCAGGATCCTCTTTGAAGGTCCTATTTAATCTTCAATTCTCAGGACAATTTTTGGAAGCCTGCAGGGAGCAATGTGGGTTTAGGCAATATTACCTGTTCAGAATGAATAAATTAATATGAGGTGGCTACCAGAAAATTGAGGTGGAAATTGGAAAGACCCTGGCTGCCCAAGATGTCTGTTTCAAGCTGTTTGTCTGAATTAATGTTGAAACTGAGGGTGAGATCAAATTTGACTAAGGAGTAAAGGTATAGGCCATTTCACAACACAATGTGTATACCTTTACTGCTTTTCAAGAGATAATGGTAGCTACTACTGCATTTTGTGTCAATCAGTTCATGATGCTGTGTATTCAATGTCCTGAAAAAGACTTCTATGGCAGGCCTCTGAGAGAATTTATGCGACTATTTTTCCTGCATACTATCTAGGAAGAAGCAGATAAGCTGCTCAGTAGTCACAAGGCAAATGAATCTGAAGTAAAACAGGCAACTGGGGAGTTAAATCTCAGGTTACACTGTGGCTGACTGAAGTTTTTTAAATCTCATTTTTGGACAAAGATGTTAATTCCTTCAGAATATCTCCACAATAAATACATATGCCTCAAGTCATCTTTTAGGTGCCTACATATTTTGCCAGTATCACAGTATGCTAGAGACTGGAAGGGACCTCAAAAGATCTAGTCCAATCCCCCTGCCGGAGCAGGAACACCTAGATAAGGTTACACAGGAACGTGTCCAGGCGGGTGTTGAATGTCTCCAGAGAAGGAGATTCCACAACCTCCCTGGGCAGCCTGTTCCAGTGTTCCGTCACCCTCACTGAGAAGAAGTTTCTTCTCAAGTTTAAGTGGAACCTCTTGTGCTCCAGTTTGTACCCATTACCCCTTGTCCTATCATTGTTTGCCACTGAGAAGAGCCTGGCTCCATCCTCATGACACTCCCCCTTTATATATTTATATACACTAATAAGGTCACCCCTCAATCTCCTCTTCTCCAAATTATAGAGACCCAGCTCCCTCAGTCTTCCCTCATAAGGGAGATGCTCCACTCCCTTAATCATCAATCAGTACCATGTACTTGCATCTAAATTTAAAACATGAAGTTAACAACTCAAAAGTGGTCACTCTGTTTATTCCCTAGCAATGGGAGTTATGTATAGCATTGAATCTGTGATTCCTTACTGTGATGTTAGTGTCAAAATCTCAAAGGACAGAACTAATTCTGTCACAGACCTTCCAAGTCAACATCATTATGGTAGAAGACTGAAATACTGTGTTGCTGGGAAGAGACACAGAAGGGTGGGAAAAAAAGACATTTGACACAGAAGAGACAAAGGAGGAAATTCAAGACAGTGATGAGAAAATGAGCTATGCTATGGGTGTGCAGATTTAGGGCAAAGCTCTTCAAGTGTTAGAAGGTTTCTTAGTTTTCTTGAATGCACCAAACACTGGTATTAAATGAGATATTTTGAAGTCTGGAAGATTTTATGTTTTATTCTTTGTAGACCCTACACTTGATCTGTGAAACAAAAGACTTTGCATGATGGCATTTTGTTAGTGCCTTTCCTCATGATATTTAGACCATAGATTCCTTAAACTGTGATAGGATTGGCTTTGCTGCTTGTGACTGTGGAAGACTTAACTCTGATATAATGAAGGAAGTTTGGATCAAAAAACTGCTTTGGGTGCAGTTTCCAAAAAAAACCCCAAAACCTCAGAATCTCCTCCCTGCCCTGTTGCTCTTGTTGAGGAAGCAGGAAGCAGACCCAAATTATTTCTGAGTGTACACAGAACTGTGGACATAGGGCAGTTATTTGATAGTGTACATAGGAGAAACCAAATTTTACTCGTGGGGCAGTGCTGAGTGCCATTTTTTGTTCCGTTTTAGGGAGAAATGAAATTTTGGCTAGCTTATGTCCCCAAGTTTTTGGATTGTACCTGGTGAAATTGGCTGTAGCCATGGTGCTTGCTGGTGGTGTGCAGAGAACCGATGCTACCGGAACTCGAATCAGAGGTTCGTATTGTTTCCAATAGTATCATATCCTTTCTAATGGTTGTTTCCATCACTGCCTTCTCTCACATGCCTCCCCCCTTCAAAATCAAGCCAGTGGGGTTTGGAGCATGATCATCCTGTTTACTTGAGTGAGAACAATTTTTGATTAATGCTGAGTATTCTTCCAGAATCTCAGAGAAATCAAGTGGGTGTCTAGACTTCCTCTTTTTATTTTAATTTTTCCCAACTAAAAGTAGGCATTAAGGGTTCCATTAAAGGCAGTTGTTTTAGATAAAACAGAAACTCACTTTTTATTGTATAAGTGACATTTTGAAATGATTTCTAGTAGAATATTCCCAGCAGCATTTGGCACCAAAGGACAGAATATTAATGTTTCCTTAATGTGGATCACTATACTATATTGAAAGGAAAAATTAAAGGATTCATTTTACTTCCTAATGCCAGATTTTTCCATCTGTGATTGTCAGCACATCTCACTTAGCTCTGTTACTCTAAGTTATCTGCCTGCTGATTCTCCTTCTGTTGTTACTAGATCGCAAATATGCCATGTGCCAGGTGGTATGCAGGTTGTAATCTATGTAGGTCATAATGATTCTAAAACAGTATGTCAGTATATACAGATACAGGATTTTCTGAATGCTCCAGCAGCTAAGTAAAGTTAGAGACTTTATGTCTGAATTGAAGTTGTATTAATATTTTGTAGAAGACAATGAAATCATTTTAGAGCACTTCAGTGAGATTGCTGTAGCCAAATCACTCACTTCTGTAATTTCATTGTTTTAAAATGACTGAGTTGTGTAACTGTTGGCAGTGTAACAGAATCAGTTAAGAAAAACAACCTGCTGGTTTTATTAGTCCTTTTTGCAATAATTCAAGTAACTGAATAGTGGAACAGTAACTAAAACCTGGTATCCTTTTGTTTCATGTTCAAGAGTAAGCTGAGCCTGAGAAATGTGTACTCTAACATGTAAGAGCTGATATTACAGATGTACATTAAATTCCTGCTGCTACTTTTAAAAGATTTCATTGTAAATATTTGGTTTGGATGCAGCAATATGACTACATCCTTTTAGTAAACAATATATTTATCACACCAAATAAATAGTGCAGTCTTAAACAGGATTACATATTGTAATGCATATGTAGCGCTAAACATTAGGTGAACAATGAAAAGTATTATTTGATTCTGAGCATTTTGTGTATATCTTTCCCTGTATGTGAACTATCTACTCCTACATCAACATTTTCCCCCAAGGTGAATCGCATCTTCTGTTGGTTGGAGACCCAGGTACAGGGAAATCTCAGTTTCTCAAGTATGCAGTAAAGATCACGCCACGCTCTGTGCTTACTGCAGGAATTGGATCTACAAGTGCAGGTATGTGCCTTTTCAGCTGGAGCGTTTTTTTTGCTCGAGTATGTTTATACAGAGATCTTTTAAATATATGAACATACGTGCTCAGGTTGTATGAGCACAGCTGAAGCAACAAATTGGTGTGGAGGCATATAAAGCCTGATATGATTCTATGCAGAAGGGCAGTTATGCCCCTTCTTCTGTATCAGTAGAGCAGTGCGGTGAGCTTCTAATAGGGAACCTTAAAAGCCTCATCCAGAGGCACATCACACTGCTTTGCTAGGAGAGGATGATCTGGACCTGTACTTTTAGTGTTATTCCCAGTTATGACAAATATGACATCTTTCCAGAGCTCATACTGTGATGGGCTAGCATCATTTGGTTTCTCCTGAACAGATACTTTTCTTTCTTCTGTTCTTTTATATGTTTTGGTCAGGCACCAGTTTGATTTCTGCTCACTTTCTGAAAATTCAGTCGCATGCTGAGGAATTATTTGTGGCTTATAAAGGTGGTTTCAAGATGGTTTCAGAGAGCAAGCTTTCTATCTGTTTGTTTGTTTGTTTAATGTAGGCATGGCCCAGCTGGCTCTGAATACCAGGTATCTTTACAAACTCTTCTCGGAACAATGTGCAGGTTGTCCCCAGATTACACCTGCAAATGACATTATTTAGGCAAATGACTATATTACTAGTACATTCAAAATCACAAACTAATTAGGGACAGACCCCAGTGTCTCAGCTAGCATGTGTACCTTGAATGTTTCTCGTATAGCAAATGCTGCTTTTCATTTTATGTCTGGGAAGCAGCATTATTTGTACATGGGAACAGCAGAGGATAAATCCTTCCCAGTTCTGTAGCTACGTGTACATGTGTGTAACTGGGTCTTTTGTAGCTGCAGAACTGGAACGTGATGTTGAACATGTACTCTTACGTGCAGGTAACTTGTTAAAAAACAAGTTTGATTTTCCATTCAAACTGTTGACAGATAGGTCTGGAGGGAAGCCAAAGAGAACATTTTGGCTCAACATAACCTTTTTGCTCTGTATAAGAACTGGATTATTTAAGTTTTGTTAGGGGACAGTTATCTCGAGTGAAATTCTGCCATGCATTTCAATGTAACTTTGCCCACTTTTGTCAGTAGTAACCTCCCTGTGTCAGCTGCTCTTGGCCTCTGATATTGCTGTTGTCTCCTTCACTTCAACTCCCTCCTGTGCTTCATTTTCCATGTGATGTGGTTCCCAGCTCAGCCATGATAGCCATATTCAAAGACATTTCCCTCCCTGAAAACCAGTACTGCAGTTTACAAGCTTACTGTGTCTTCAGATCATCTGCATTTCACTTAAATATTCCTTACTTTTAAAAGGCCTTTTGCTTCCCTCTGCCTTCCCTCCACAGCTGACAGCAGGTGCATCAAATTTCCACCTTAAAATTCTCTTTTCACACCCTTATCACAAGTGAAACTTGAGTCTCTAGCAAAAAATCTTACTAACCCTAATTTAACTTCAGGGAGTCTTTCCATGGAACTTTTCCATTGGAACTGCTGGACTAAAGCATTAATTTCTAGCCCAGGAGTTTTGATGCAGTTTGAATTATTTTGCCTTCTTCCCTGTGCAAGAAGTGTCTTATGAATACGTACCTAACATTGATTTTGTCAACTTGCTCTTTGTGCAGAAGTTCTAAGTGATGAATTTAGAGAACTATTAAATTGCTTTTCTTTCCTTGTCATAATTGTACACTTGAATTACCTGTTTCTGCTTTCTCATGAGAGGAGAGTCCCAATGCACATTTTTCCTTCCAGTCTACAAAGACTAAATCTGTAAGTTCCACGTTCAACTAGTTCCTTACTTTATATAGAAAGCAGTCTGCATTGCAGTTTACTTGCTGGCTCTGGGATTACAGTCCACATATGACCAAAAGCACACCTGAGATTTGGTAGGCCCTGGAGAAGTGCTAAAAGCTAACTGCCTTACATCTGGATTCCTCTTTCAGAGGATACCTAACCAAGCTTTGCTGATACCTAACCAAGCTTTGGTATGATTTTGTGCATTAACAAGTCTTTACCCTTTACGCATCCAGTATGGGTTTGGGACACAAGTTATTTATCAACCATAGAATTACAGTTCTGCTTCCAAAACTGTCTATCATCATGTCAGTTTTCCCGTTTTCTATTAAAGCATTATTTGTACCAGGACAACGTATCAGACCATTAGCATTCTCCTTGTGCCAAAATTCTCCTTCCTGCTCTGCCTTAGGTATCATGTGCTTTGATACCCACTATGAACCTTTGGGGCCCTGTGGTTCCATGTGCCCGCTGCAGCCCGTGACCCCAACCAGACCTAACTGGAATTGCCTCCCAGAATTTCTGAAAAGAGTGACTCAGCTCTGCAGCTTGATTTGCTGTTGGGCCTCTCCTCTTCCCATTGCTCCTGCCTGCCCCAGGGCTATGTAAACACAGTCTGTGATTCATCAGATGTGTTTCGCCTCATTCAGAAAGTAGGACCCAGGCTTTCATGTTCTGTGTATGGAAGACCTTCATCTTATCTCACCAAAAGGTTCAAGTTGCCTGCTTGCTGTAGATAGCCCTTACAAAGGACCAATAATCTATTCTCTTGTTTGGGAAAACAGAACTTTACCTCCACTCCCTGGACAGCGTTCCTGAATTTCCTTGTTTTATTAGGCTGCCTTTCTTGCAAACAGTAGAAATTTTGTTACGAGTTCTCTGCAAGTTAAGGACTTCTATGATGATTTGTTCCTCCCACATCTCTTTAATGAAAGTTGGCAGCCACAAGACCAGCCCACATTCAACAACTCATTTGACCACTGTAGGACTGTTTTGTAAATATAAGATGGGGGAGCCATCTGTCCCATTGTCTGGGTCTGTCTCCAGTGTTCAGTTATTTTAAAGGCCTGGTTCATTCTCCCCCACTAGTCTCTCAACTGAGAATCACAGGGAGTCATTTGAGTACATTGACTTTATAGAAGTTGATAGTTTTCCAGAAAGGTAGAGACTTAGTGAGGTTTAACAAAATCTCTCTGTGGATTCCCACCTTCCTTGTGAATTTAACTTATTCTTAACTGTTCTGCAGTCCCCAGAGCTATAGTGCTGCTTGTGCATATTTGGATGAGGTAATCACTAGTAAGAACCTATTTAATCTACCCCCCGAGCTTGAGATCTGCAGTGATCAGTTGAGTGGTGTGTTTGACTCCATAAGGATGGGAACCAACACATGCGTGCTGCTGACATTTGTGGATATCTGGGCCAGAGTCATTCTGCTGCTTGCTGGTGCACATTTGGCTGTTCACATTTCTGCAAAGTTGTGCTTGGTGCCGTGTCCCTCCACAGATGGATGCTTAATGCTGCTTAAAGAATTTTCTGAACTGCATTTACAACAGCTTGTCTAAAAATCTGGGAGATGATGAGCTGTTTCTCCAGCTCTCCAGTTCTGTACAATATGCCTTCCTGAGGTGTATGAAATGCAGCCTTCTGGCTCCTCCATAGACAGCCTCTATGACAGAGCCTTGAGGGTACTGCCTTTTGCTGACATTTTGCAATGTGTAACGTTGTCCATATCATGCCAACAGCACTTTGCTACTATGTGGGGTTTTTTTCTTGTTTCATTGAAGGAAACTAGCTCAAGGGGAAAGGGACATTTTTCACAACAAGCCTTTCCCTGCCAGGCAGGCTTCAGGTGCTAACAGTTACCTCTCTCCTGATCCATTAGAAACCAAAGTGGCTGATGTGAGCCATCCAGCCATGAATATGAATAGAGTACATGGTGTCAGTATCCTGAGGTACTCAAGACACTGAAACTAGAGACCTTTCTCTCTGTAGATTCCTCAGACTGTCCCTGGGCTTTCCCTAGTTGATGCAGGCCAAGGCGGTGCCAGGGAACAGTTGTCCACTGTGGATACATACTCTTGCCCTGATAAAATTATTAGAAATTCTGCAGGAGCATAATCTTTGCAATGTTAATTGGAGGTTTCAGGTCTTGCACACATGTGGCTTAATACATCCAGGCAGGCCTTCATCAGACTTTTTTATCCTGCTGCTGAAATGGCAGGCATTTCAAGCAGTTGATTTCTGGGTAGATATGTCTTCAGAATTCCTTTTACCATATCATAAAGCCCCTGCTTCTTCCCAGGTCATATCAGTGCAGGTCTGCCACACCTTTCTAGTGAGATAGGACAAAAAGGAGGACCCCCTTATGCTCAAAATTAGGCCTCTTCATCTCACGGTCCAAGGGTGTTAAGAAAGTTCTGACATTTCAGCCAGTTCATAGTGCTGCTGTTAACACATAGCTGTCATCTCTTGTATCTGGTATAGCCCTTCTGCAGCAAACACACCTCCTTCCTCCGATCTTCTGTCTTCAGGAAAGCCAGTCACATCCCTCAAGCCACAGACAATGAGTAGCAGCCATGCCTCCAAATTAGCATAAACAGAAGTTGGAAATGTTGAGGTGTATCCTCATTCCATCCCCTCCTGAGGGCCTCTATGCTTTCGAAATTCCAGATAGAAACCTGGGGTTTGCCTTTAACAAAGCCTCCCTAGCAACTTCAGCTCTAGTATCACACACTGCAAAACCAGCTCTTAAGAAGCAGAACTTTAACTGGAAACATAAATACGATGGGATGGCCTATTATGAAGAGTCCCGCATACCCTGTCAGCCCTTACATACAGTTGTCAGTTTTGTTGCATCTTCCCTGTTGGCACTGAGTAGAGCTCCCCAGCTAACAACAACAGCGCAATTAACCCATCATCTCTGGACCAATACTCTGTGGCTCTCAGAAAAATGATAGAATCTGCAGGCTTGCAGATCACTGTCAGATGGCAGTGGCCACTCTTTTTCTAGCTGCAAGTGGCCAGCCTCCAACCTGAGCCGACTTCCAGAAAATCAGCAGTTGACTCCCTACGAAGAAAGTAACAGTCAGATCATCAGATTTCTTTGTGACTTTGTCACTCAGATCTCAGGAATACACATTGCCTGCGGAGCTAGAAACTCATATACTGTGGTTATTGTGGAAAAGTTGAGTTGCTGCAGCCTTGAAGATTGGTGGCAAGGATTGACTTGTTCAGTGCATTTTGTAGAGCCCCTGAAAAGGTAACTTTCACCAGCCTCCATTATGATGGCGCTGGAGCCTTTTTAGTTCCTTCAAACTCAGAACATCATAGTAATTCAAACCAAAGGTGATGCATGAACAAATCACAATGACTGTAGAAGAAGGGACAAATTTGTTTTCAAGCTAGATATACAAAATCCCACCTGTGTTTTTCATCCATAAATGTTACCTTGACCAATCTGTCCACTTCTTTATACAATAACCTAAAGTGTTATGACAATCTTCTAATGGAACTGAGTCTATCTGATGTAAAAATACAGTGAAATACATCATCGGTCCTGCCAATAGGAGTTGTAGCACTCCCCTGTGTCTTGGTGGTCTCTGCAAGTGAAGGTTCGTGGGAAGGTGAACTCATCTTTGTAATACTGTGCTGTCTGCACCCGCTGCCACTATGTCATATGTAGTCTCCTGTTTCAAAACTTTCAAGACATCAGGGACAAGCCTCTATAGAGATGCCTTATATGCACGGTACCTTTTAATATCACTAAGTCTGTGCTGTGATGTTGCCTGCTGATCAGACCTGAAGCCTCTGGAGTACTAGAATTTGATTTCTCTAATTCCATGTCTTGGAATGTGATTTTGCCAGGAAATGTGATATTCAGAAGACACTGTGTATGGCCTGCTAGGATCTGTACAAACATGTATAAGACTGAGAGGCATCCAGTCTTTCAAAAAGCAAAGACAGACCATTTCTGTTGCAAAGATCTTGAGTTGCTCTCCTGAGGTACAGGTGTCTTCCAGTTTCACCAAGCACAGCAGGGCTATTCTTTTTCCTGTAATTAGTGGGCCAACTGTATCTAGGATGTGTTAGCGTTAACAGGTGATGTGGTGCCAAATGCTACTGCAGCCTCATGCACACGTGATTTTTTTCCTCCTAAACAGAAGAACAGATCTTCACTTTCTGATTAACTGGTTTGCTGGGTGACAGTTTTGCTGACTGTATTTTGTAGTTGACTCTACAATAGCAATAATAGCAGTAATGGAAGCAGTTTACTTTCATCAATTTGTGCATATGCTTTTAAGAAAACTTCATGCTACTGATGCATGAATTCTGGTTACAGCTTGCACTTGCTTCATGTTTTCATCTGAATCTTCAATAGGTGCAAGGGTTTGAAATACTACTACAATAGCCTTAGCTCAAGGCACACTTCATTAGCCTGCCAAACTTTAGGCAGATAACCAAGTTATTTACATGCTTACATTTAAGAGATCTCTTAGATTTACAAACAGAATAATAAAGTGCATGAAAAATCTCAAAAATGTCACTTTACACCTTAAAGTTGCAATATAACTGAAAATCAAAAGATCTTTCTTAAAAGTGCACATAATTTTAGCCCTCCAGTGAAGCAACTGCTGTTTTGCTGGACCAGTTCTTTGTGTTAAGTTATACAGATATTGAAGTGTTAATATTTCTGAATTGCTAATCATCATTTTGAACAATTAGAGAGATTTGTAAGAGCACACATTAGAACTAGGGTTCCAAATATTAATGGGTTTCATTCAGTCAGCTACCATAGGTACTACTGGGTTTCCAAAGAAGAAACAAAACATGTGCATGTACATGTATACTCAGGTCAGGTCATTCCTTTCCAATTTAAAAAATATACATGTTGGAAAGGAAGACAGTTTCACTAATGACATGGAAAGACAGAAGTACTAACTGCTTGGAATGTCTTCATTCCTATTAGAGAAGGCAGAAAGGGCTCTGTTCACAGCTATACTGTCAGTCATGAAATCTGCCTTGTTTTAAGGGTCTAGAACCTCCAAGGGTTCAGTTTGGGTGGTTACTAGTAACTAGCAGAACTATATTCCTGTATCTGACATGACAGATCACAATTTTAAATGCACAGTCACAGTAAATGCGTAAGGATAAAGAGGACTGGAATGACTAAATTCTTAGTGTCATAATTATGTCTGAGGTCTTTACAATTTACTGCTTAGCTCTTTTTATCTTCAAGGATGCCTCAGGTACTAGGGTGTTTGCAAGAACTTCAGGGCAGGCAACATAATCTAGAGTCTGCCATGCCTGCCACAACAGAGTTTGCATACTGATTTTTACCAATGCATACGATTGCCTTAGAGCATAGAGAAAAAACAGAAAAGCATCAAATTTAAGATGTTTCAAAAAAAACAGAAAGCAAGCATCTCACTTCCTTATTACTGAAAAAAAACAACAAGAATAAAGCATACCTGAAAATAAATTTACCAATCTGCAGTAACACACAATCTTACATAAGAGCTTTTTTTTTTTCATTCATGCTATTCCTTAACGCTGCTTCGAATTTCCAGTAATTGCTTGAACCCTTTCACCAAAAGTTGTGTGGTATTAGGGTGGCTGAAAAGGCTTCTTTCCTGAGATACTTGCCCAAATCCACATGAAACACTGTCCTTAATGAACCACAGTTTGACTAAGCAGCAGCAGGATATATCCAAGATAGCAGATGGTAAATATCAACTTGCATGCTTTAAGTAACAAGTATGTGCCTTGAAAGGAGAAGAAGCTTGCACCTAAAATTACACTGTGCTGTCTGCTTTCACAGCGAAAGGATGTTTTTGGATATTTTTTTTAATGAGATACTTCTTTCTTTGAACTCCATCTAATGACAGTTTTGTTCTTAAGCTGCTATTAAACAGCACTTTACATTTGGCAATCTGTGTATCAGAGATGAGAACATAGCATTATTCCTTCGTTTTGCCTGAATGCTTTAACTTTCAGGGGTTTTTAGCCTTTAACAGTGCTTACAAAGTAAAGGGGGAGGGGGAACAATACGTATACTTTAATCAGGCTTGGTTTAGACCACATAGAATAACACATTAGAGAAAAAAGGCAATTACTTAAAAATAGTTGTATTTATATTCCACAATTTGTTCAAATACTGTTTGTTTGGTTTCTTTTTTTTTTTTAATATAAACTTTCTACAGGATGTTTTAAAACAAGTTCTTCACATTGCTTGTCAACTATGTACTTATGGAATTTGAGGGAAATAGTTCTGGTTGTTTTTACAGTTTAACACATGTACAGTACCAAAATGATGGTGGTTAGTCACATGCAGTCCATATGAGATTCTAACATAACATTTAATGAATTTTCTGATGTTGACCACCCCTTTGATGCTGAAGGTAATGCATCTGTAGAAAGCAGTGACTGTAGATTTGGGTTACTGCTCTCTGCATCTTCCAGTTTTTCAGAGTTGTCTTCCCAATTAATGTGGAACCTCGTGACTCTGGGATTAGATGCCAAAATATTCCTTTGAAGCTGGGAGAGAAGAAAATATATGGATTATGTAATGTGTACATCTCAAAATGAAGTTCACATGCATGCAGTTTTCCTTTTACTCTCTCCATAGCCTTGTATGCATAAAAAGAAAAGGTAATTCATGTAAATCTGAATCTACAGCTGCTATCATTGGATCGGAAACATTCTTACAGAAATACAGCACTTGTTCATTTACTCTAACATCCTACTCAGAAAAATAACTGCTTTCTTGAGAAGGTATTTTAACTGTTCAGTGAGTTCAAGACTGTATGACAGCTCTGCAAGTAAAGTGCAAGTGTTTATTATTTTAGCCAGCTTTTAGTAAAGCAAATTACCCCCACAAAGACTTTACAACCACAGTACTTCACAAAATTTCACACTGACTTTATGGTGCTTGCAATAATTGCTACCAATTCCACCAGCAGGCTGTCTTCATTTAGTATCACAACCCCTCCTTATATGAAATTATCATACCATGCTTTATATTAACTAACTGAATTTTAATTTGTCTACTAAAGTTTTAAAGTAAAAACAGTACCTAGATTTGGAAGATAGTTATACTGTGGCAGTGGACATGCCTAGACATTAGTCACATTTTATTATCATGACGGGCCTTCCCTCTCCTTTGAAAACATGTTGTATTTTTGTATGCAGCAGAAAGGAAAACACTTCCTCTTAATCTTTCACCGTTTTCAAGATAATACATAGCTAACTGGAGGATGGTACCTTATCACCATTATGAAAGTTAAGACTGATCACAGGAAAAGTTTGCTTTGGTAGTAATGCCCATTTTGTTCTCCAAGGAAGCACAATCTCAGTAAATGTTTCCCAATCATTTATGCAAACTAACAAGTCCAGCCAAGGCTTCAAGACAGTGGAAGCTGTTGTAGGTTTCAAGGTGTTCTGCATGTCACCTGTAGCTTGTTCCCCTAGTCTTTTCCATTATTTGATGCCTCATTTCATGTACTTTATGGGATTACTTGGGATTTGGCTTCATTTCTTGAAAACCTCTTTCTGTAAGCATACCTTTGATGTATTACTAGAACAAAACAGGTCTTACCTTAGAAAAGTCTGGCTTTACTGGTGGGTTCTCTCTCAGTTCTGTTTCAGTATATTCATTGTTTACGTAGTAGCCGACTCTAATAAATTCTTGACCTCGATAGGTGCATGTAATTAGCACAACTGTTACACCTACTGCATCTGCATCTGGAATAAGCCCTGGGTTAGGTGCATCAGCCTGGATGTGAAAGGGGAAGATGGAATAAAATAAAATTGATACCACATTGATATCTATCTAGCAGGTGAATCTTAAGTACTTGTCTCAACAGCTGAGTAAGGACTGTATTCAGAATTATTCTTCAAGTTAACCAGACAATATACCTGCTCTCACAACAACATTAACCCTGAATTTAGGACACTATACACTAGAGACAGAATTACTTGGAATACAGTAAGTGTGATGACATTTCTCACATGTGATTAGACAGTTTTGATACAAATCTGCTTTTAAATACATCATCAGTTGAACTGTTGTTTGAGCACGTGTACTAACTCACTGTTCTCAAGCCTGTCTTGTAATTTAGTAAAGTAAGATCTTTTTGTTGTCGTTGAATATGTCTGCTGCATGTGTTTTTAACAAGACTAAATCCTTTAAAATACAGAATGTAACTTATACTTCAGTAAGAAAAGCAGGTGCAGGCTATGATGAGGCTTGGGCTTTCTCAGGGAGTTCTAGGAAAGGAACTACTCTCTCTCACCTCCTTCCACTTGCCTACAGTTTTTAAGATGTATGCAGTTAAATGCATCATCACAGAGACATCTGACATTTTCAGCCACATGAATACTAATCAATAAACAACTTTTATAATCTTCCTCAGTTACTTACCACAGCTCTGCAGTTACTAATCATGAAAATTGCCTTGTAAACATGGCTCACATAGTCCCTTAAAATCCTTCCTAATTACACATTTTTTGATAAAATGTGATGCCTCATTCTCCTATAGGATTTAAAGTAGCAGCAATCTAAGCACAAATGAAAGAGCTTCATGTTTACAATTTTACATGAAGCTATGAAACCAACAATATCAGTACAAGTTGGTATTAACAATATACGTTAGAGGGGTTTGAGTGCAACAATCTTAGCTAAGGAGAGAGGACAAATAGGATTGACTCCTGCTGCCCCTATCATCCATAGTTTTCTGTCGTATTTATATGCTCCAGCACTGTGAAACTGGGGAGCTAGCGGTCATGCAGCATTGCCTTCTGCTCATTACTACTTCAATTCTAAGCCTCCAAACCAATCTAGCTTTTGATAAGCTGTAGGCACTCTGCAGAATTAGATGACTCAGACCTCTTAGACTTGTGGGAGAAGCAACCAGGGAGTCAGGTAGAACACAACTTCCTCCACCCCAAAGGAAAAGAAAATGAGCAACTGGCTTTACCACTCACACAGGGAAACAGAAAAGATGACCAAGGAACAGGGCAAATACAGAAGCTTGAAGAAATCACAAGAACTGCCAATACACATTAAATCACTATTCTAATTAAGTAGTCTTGTTCTAACAGTGCCCAGGACCACTTGATTACCTTAAATTCCACAGTGGGCTGTTACAGACTAATATATTGCAGAAGGATACGCTTCCATTTAACCCCCCTGGAACTCAACTCACTCCCTAATGGCAACTGTAGTTCTTCCAGGTTACCACTGGCATCAATTCTATGATACAGTAGTGAGCCCAAGGAAATACTCTGTTTTAATTCTACTTAACTCCCAAGTATTATTTTGCTGAGCGGAAAAGACACTGAACACTGTTTGAAACTGCCTTCTCAAATTTTGAACTTCCTGCCTTGGATATCAAGCTTCTTAATTGAATAGGGAACAAATGATCATACACAGGTGGGAGAAAAATAAGACAACCTTGATATGATCAAGTGTTAAGTCAGCAGTTGCAAACTTCCTGGTAGGCAAAAAGACAGTAGATTAACTTCTGCATTAAAATCCTGTCCTAATGTCATTCTTATTCTAGAAATTACTTAGGAATTTTATGAAATCACTCAATACATTTGTCTTGAATTCTCTTGCTTTTCCACATGATACAATTATTCACATACCTATTACTGCAGTGTAGGTAACTAACGTCATATCCCCACTTAAAGATAGTAAGTTACTTATATGCTTATATTCTCATATAATGAGAGAAGTTTCTGTGAAAATCCTCAAGTGCACAAAGAGAAAGAATGAGATCTCACTACCGATATATCTTGGTATTTAGAAACAAAAAGACCAAGCTCTGGGCCTTTAATTGAACCTTTTAATATTTAAAAATATGATTGTTTAAGTCTGAAAGCACAATATTTTTCCATTTTTCTGTATGTAAGGCTGACTTCACAACCTGATAAGCAGCTTCTTCTCAAAAGAGACAGTTTTATCATCCCTGGGATTTCATCTGTGTGAAGCTCCATTTTTACTTGCCGTTTCAGCCATTTTCCTATTTAGAAAAATATACCGTGTACACATTAGCTGGAAATTTTATACACCTCTGCAAGGGTCCTTTTCTTGTGCTCTCCCTAGTGAGCACAATCTCTTTATATTATATGCCTCCTGCAGTTCTGTGCTTTTCCCCATTCTGCCTTCCCTTGCTAGTTCTCTCCATCTCCCAGGCTGCTTCAGTTTGGTGATTAGAACAGCTTCAGTCATCAGCAAAGGCTTACTGCAGCACTGTGTTTTGGTGGTCTTCTGTGTACATGTTAGCAGAGTCCTACCCTCACCTAAAATCCACTGCTCCTGAAGTCTAGGATACTTAGACCAACAGTACTTCTATAAGAAATAAAAGGGATACTTTATTAATATAACAAAGGAGTACTGACTCTCTTATAGGACTTATTCCAATCTAAGCAAAAAGTTTTCATGACTACTCTCAATTTAGCTGTAGTGTCTATAACAAGGATACAACTGATAAATCTATCCTACATGCCTTTTTAGGCACCTGCCTCCTGCTCCTTCCCATCATCATCAATGAGTCCTCGTAACTTTGAGAACAGTGCATCTTTTAAATTAGAAATGTTAATACCAGCTGATTTTTCTGGATATAGTGCTACAAGACAGCCCTTCTGAGGGCAACAGAGGATCACCTATTTCTGACCAATTAATGCCATAAGATGTAACAGCTTGATAATTGAAGAACTGTTAATAAATGATGCATTTGTTACACATCCCCTTTACTTGCAGCGTGGAAAAATTTGGCCCAGCAGCAAGCCCAAACAGAAGTGTTTCAAGACCAATTTGCGCACATGTGGTTGATAAATGTAACCTCCAGCCTAATCCTGTTCCTTTAGCCTATCCTCTAAGGAAAAAAACACAACAAAACAAACCATTTCCTTGAATTTACAGGATTAATCAACATGGCTCAAAAACCACTGATACTGTTTTAAAACTGTTACAGTAACTGAGAAATAGGGAAGTGTATTCATTAGTGCTTTTTAACGCTCATACTCCTTCATGCATTTACCATTAGATAGTTAAGTGAATTTATAGCATTTAGGTAGTACAGTGGTTCTTATACAATAAGCCATACTCAAGTTTCAGTATTATTTTTCTGCTGACAGATTCTGCTCTCAGTTTACAAGACAAATACTAGTATTTGATAGAGGAAAAAAAAGTGAGCTAAATCATAATTTTTGTAAAAAAAAAATAAAAATAAAAATCAAACAAACAAAAGACCCACTTCTGTAAGAATTTATGCAGGTCTATTTCAGTCCTTCCCCCCGCCCCGACTTAAAATGGAAACCAGAATAGGCTAGTAAGTCACCTCAGTACTGCTCTTTTCCTGTTCTCCTTCCTCCTTCCCTTCATTATTTCTTCTTAGTAATGTTTAGCTTTAACAGCAGTATTTCATAGGACTGTCATATGCTCCAGTTTGTTGGACAGTCCTGATCTACACACTTGTGTCCCAAATGCCTGCCACCTACTGTTGGCATTCTGTTTTACCTTACAAATTGCTGTATTTTTATGTAATTTAGCATGTTTAGCCAAATATAATGGTTGAACATTTACCCCACCAAACAGGAATGAACTCTTTACTGTTCCAGTTGAGTTTTAAGATTAGTTTGTTGGCCTAAGCTTCTAAAGGTGTTGTCTACCTTAACATAGTGCTCCTGATTGTCTCAGAACTGCCACCAGCTGCAGTAGAGTTAAGCCTGATGGTGCTGGTGTAAAACAGATAACAAGTACGCTTGATTACAGAGTGATCTAGAATACATTTATAAAACCAGACTGGCCAAAGTTACCAGTGGCTACACAAACACTACTTATATCACTGTGTCTAATTATTGATGCTACAAGTTAAAGTATTACCATGGAAATACCAGGAGCAAGAAGCAGCAGCTCATGAACAGATCTTAAAGGAATGTGTATCATACCTGAAGAACTTCTAGCTTACCCTTATTTTTCAAGTGCCTCTTAGTTTGACAGTCATCTTTAAACAAATTAACGCAACCGTTTTAGGAAAGAGTTAAACTAAACTTACCTGAAATACAAACATGTGTCTGCCCGCAGGAACAGGTCCTACTAAAACAGAGTCTAACACCTGATCATACTCTTCACTTTCAGCTGAACCCACATAAATTATTTTCCATTCCAAATCTAGAACGAAACAAACAAAACCAAAACCTACCATTATTTATCATTACAGTCAAGGATACTCCATTCTTCCCTATCTACAGTGTTGCATAACCTAAAATCAATTATTTGGCAATAGGCCTAAAATAACAAGGACCTGTCTTCACTAGGGAAATTTATCAGTGCCTGCCCCATTCCTCATGGACCATCCCACCATCTCTCAGCAGGCAGTCAGTACTGCAGGAATCCCTCCATTTTCATAGGTTAATTTTCAAGAGGACAGGGCCCATTTACTTATTGGGAGCTGTGTTCAGCATCTTCCCAAAGTCTGACGGAATGGCTGCAATACAGCAATGATGCCTCTATACGCCTGTACCACACTGCACACCTTGAATACCAACTCACCTCCCCAAAAGAAATTCTCACCTTCCATGTATACACCTCACAGCTTAAGTTAAGGTAGTAAACAGAATAAGAAAACTCACTGTGTAAGCACCTGGCATACTAAGTGTACACCTCCATTCCTTCACATGTAACCTGCATAACCTGAGAAGTATGTAAAATTGTGCTAGCATGATTAGATCATATTCTCAAAGATATTGGTGCTTGGATTTTATCCACTCCAGAAATAAATTTACAGGGGGAAAAGAAACAAAAAAAAGTAGCATTTTGCTTCTTAAAATAATGCATCAAAATCAAACATTTCTTACAATTCAGAGGCTTTTTTGTAACTCACCGTCTCCACCACAGGTGTTTGAAAGCTGAAACTACAAATGAGCACACATTAGCCCCCTCTGGGCCAGCTTTTCCCTTTCACTTTTTGATTAAAAATCACATGTATAAATACACACAGAAATCTGATCTTAAATACAGACTTTTGTATTTTGGGTTTTTTTTAACCAGAGGATCACCATTACAGGAAACTGTAACTGACTTTTTTTTTTTTTTAATTGCTGTTTAAAAACTGCATCTTAAATAACTTACATGGTATATTCCCCCCCCCTCCCCCCCCCCAATGAACAGTGCTCCAATTGTCTATGCAAAAGCACAAACCTGGACTTTATTACATCTACTTTATTACTATGCTCTGCAAAATCCAGAAGTCTGCATTATGGTATCTTGACAGAGAAATAGAACTTAAGCATAGAAAAAAAATGCACTTTAACAGAACTTGAATTCTTCTTGCTTATCATGTTTATCAATAGTGCAGGTTTGGGGGTTTAAGGAATGTAATTTACAGGGCTTGGGAAGAAATCTTACTCCTCTATACAGCACAGCACAATTGGTCAGGTACTGTATCAGAGGTTTTATTTCCCTTTTAAGCATGTAGTACTAGCTACTGCAAGTACTGCAGGCCACTCCCCCAGGGCAGTTAAGGACCTCTTGTCAACATCTTCGAGTAAGTTAGTACTTACAAGAAGCCAAGACTTTTACGCTAAACTGCTCAAGATTATCACAGTAGAACAATGTAAAGTTCATTATAAACCAGTAGTATTTAGTACTAAAAATGGACTTTCTAAAAATAAGTTTTAAATTATACATTTAATGTTGTTTAGGTACCTTGATACTGAACAACAACTTTAAAAAAAAAAATATGGCTGGAGTTCAGTAATTTAGGGTCAGTGGTGCACAGGGCTGGCTGAAGAGAAAACGGCACAGTAAACAAATGAAGGCTAAGGCAATGACAGCAAATTTGTCATGGAGTATACATAGGCAATGTTTAATCTTGTTTTTAAATGTGAAAGATAGCAGTGCTCATCCTGAATTTATCCTGTAGTCTAACCTGCTTTTAGGTGGGGGCACAAAACTGAGAATTTTGCATTAGACCATCTATAATTCTTCTCATCCCGATTGTCCCAGATTAACTCTAACATAAATCCAGAGAGTGAGAGGCACGTCACATATAGCTGTGCACAACTAGAAAGAAAGGCATATTGCCTTTGTGTGGAGCCTCTGTGACAAGCTCTGTCGCTTCCCGCAGCGGTTGCCATCGAGGGGTCTGATACTGTACCTCAGATGAGGCCAGACCGACTAAAGAGATCCAGTCAACTACCTGGAGATGGGCACTAAGCACATCCTGGTACAGGCAGCTCCGACTAACGTCTCGGCCGGTTGTAAAGGGGCATGAGACTAGCGGCAGAAGCCTAGAGGAAATCCCAGGTTCAGATGGGACTTCCTCTGAAGTTCCCGCTAGCGTGACTGTCCCTCCCAAGGGCGGTGGAATAGAGCAAGCCAAGCCGTTCCACCGAGCGCGCTGTCACAGGCCGCCGGCACCCACAACTATAAATTGCTACAGAGGCAGGCAGGGTGAAGCAAGTTTAACCACAACGCCAGGCAGCCTGCCAGGTGTTATCACTCTCCAACTCCGGTTTTCTCTTTGCTTCCCCTCGCCCCTCAGGCCGCTGGGGCTGCCCGGCGAGCAGACAGAGCTGGTCTCCGCCGAGCACCAGGCAGCTGCCCTCTTCCGCTCGCAAGCAGCCCCAGCAGAGCGGCCTCGGCTGCCAGGAGCGCCCCGCTTTCCCTCCCGGACCGCCGCCTTCCTCACCCCGAGCCGGGGCGTTCAAAACTCCCGCCGGAGGGCGACGCGCGGCCTCTCGGGGCGACTCTCGCGGAGATCCGCGGCGCGGCCTACCGGCGGCCCGGAGGCGGCGCTGCCGAGCGCCGCCGAGACGAAGGCGGTTCGCGGCCCTCACGGCTGAGGGGAAGGCGGGAGGAAGCCCGCCGGCGGCGTGGCGCGTCCCTCGGCAGGGAGCAGGGCCAGCTCCCGGTACACCGGAGGGGGGGTCCCCGCGGGGCGGCTGCAGGGCGGCGCCGCCGGGGCCACCCCCCTCCGGCGGCTGCCAGTAACTTTCGAGTGACTTCCAAAAATAGTGGCTGGCGGCCGGCCCCCTCCCCCACCGGCAGGGCTCCCGCAGCCAACGTGCCGTGCCATACAGTACCGCGCTGTGCCACCGGTCAGCCGCACCTACCGCGCCTCGGCAGGCAGCTGCCGGCACCCGGGGGCGAGCCCGACCGCCCATACCTCCCACAGCCGTAAAAAAAAAATAATAATAATTAAGTATTAAAATGGAGAGCGAGGCAAGCGAACCGCTGTCCGCGGAGCGTCTTCCGCGCTCTGAGTAGCGTAGGGGCGCCGGCCGCGGAGTAGCCCCTCTCCCCGCGGGCGCGGGAACGCACGACGGCCGAGCCCGGTTAACCCTCTCCCTGTCGCGCTCCCCCCCCACGCACACACAAAGCTGGCAACATGGCTACCACCACTCAAACAAGTTCCTCGCAACTTGAGGCTCGGCTCGCCGATGGCGCGGCGGGGAGAGGAGAGCCGGCCTCCAGTCGGCGGCTAGGGTGGGCGAACACCGCCAACTTTCCCCGCCGGGCTCGGCAAGAGCGGTTTTCCGGCTCCGGCTCGGGCGGGCACATCCATCCCTTCGCCTCGGCACGGCGATGCGGCGAAGGAGAAACTGGTAAATTGTAGAAGCAGGCCTGCGCAAAGTTTAAGCCTTAAAACCCCTGAAACGCAGAGCCCGGGGTTACAAAATCCGTATCGGGAAAAACGTACTCACCTTCAGACAGGTCCTCTATGCACTCAAATGTGATTTCGAATTGGAAAGGATTGTAGAAAGGAGAAGGATTATCCAACACCACTACATTGTTCACCTGAACCTTTGCCATATTTTGAAAAAAACACAAACAATAGGAAGAGCGTGCTAACGCAGCACAATAAAGTCCAGTGTGTTGGGCTTTTGCGACGCACAACCCCCCGCGCCGGTGCCCGAGCGAGGCTGCAGAGCTGCGACTTGCAGAAACTTTTCTTTTCCCCCTTTTATTTACACCGGGAGCACTCCACACTGTTTGCAGCTTTCCTATTTCACTAAACTACAGCCCATTCTGCCCTGCTCGCCTCCAGCGCCCGCCCGGATTGGCCGCACGCCGGCCTAGGGCCCTCCTCCCCGAGCGCGGCCGACGAGCGGCAGCAAGATGGGCCTCGCCGCTCCCGCTCCGACCGCGCCTCCTCGCCGCGGCGCCCCCGCTCGGCGCGAGGCGGAAACGGCTTCACAACGGCCGCGCCTGGCGGGCGGGGCTGTGCCAGGGCGGCCGAGCCCAGCCAGGCGGAGCCGGGGCTGGCGGTGGTGCGGCGGCCGTCGACCCTCCACGGTCCTGGGAGCTGCGCCGTGTGCTGTGGGGTTGTTGCGAAGAGTGGTGTTTCTGTAAGACTTGCATTTTTTCCTCCTTCCCCCCCCTCCCTTTTTTTTTCCTTTTCCCATTTTCTGTTCCCAGAGGTGGCCCAGGTTTGATGCTGGGGCAGGGTGTTGAAGGAGCTCTGGGCTCTCCACGGATGTTCCTTTCCCAAGAGCCCAATCCCGCAGGGGAGCTGCACTGTCCTGGTCAGCACCATGGCACCCAGCAGTTGTCCGAAGGCAGTGTGCCCAGAGGCAGTGTAACAGCACTTTGCTCGCTGGTGTGCACCCCAAATAAAGAAGGGTCTGCTAGTGGGGTGCCTGGCTCCCAGCATGGGCCACAGTTCTGCTATGAATGCACCTTGCTGCTGCTTCAGAGGCCACCCACAGAGGGGCTGTGTAGGGACCAGAGCGTATCTTTTACACAGCTGTGCTGTCAAGAAGCCATTGCATTCCTGTATTTGCAAAGAAACGCTTAAATAGCTTAAAAAACTACGAAACAACACATATCCCTGTGCAGAAGGAGGCCCAGTGGGAAGACCACCCTGTGCAGCAGCATGAGGACCAGAGAGGAGGCCATCTTGTGTGGCAGCAGGAGGCCCTTGGAAGAGGCCATCTTGTGGCTGCCATGCATAAGGGATAGGGAGGAGTGACAGCACTGTATAGCACCGGTTTTCATTCCTCATGCTTCTGTAGGGGAAGAGCAGAAGGTGCTCGGTACTCATGGGGTGTGGGTTGTGTGCCGTCACCACAAGAGAAGATTCTGTGTGGAAATAAAAACACAGCTAGGCACCAGTACTGGCTGCAGGGAGCCCTTGACTGTAGTGGAATACGCACTGCAGAAAGGCATGTAGGAGCCATCTTCCACCTGTGTGGGAAGGCAGAGCCCTGCTGGTGGGAGCAGAGTGCTGCCAGCTCTGCAGCAAGTGAGAGCACAGGGCTAAGGCACGGGGGCCTTTGGCCTTCAGCAAATCCCATGCAAGGTTTGGAAAGGTGATGACGCTTTTGGTTATTTACAGAGAAATGTCATTGTCAGACACTTGCCTGATCTCTTGCTTGCTATGCTTTTTAACAGCATTCTCCACATCCGGCACAAGGCTAGAGGTTATTTTTCATTTTTATTATTATGTCATATGACTGACTGCCCAAGTTGTTCAGTGCAGAGGCCAGGAAGCCAAGAGTGATTGGATGCAGTGGAGTAGATTCCTCACAACAATCTAAAGTACATGTTGTGTTATCAGGAAGCATGTATTTCAAATAACTTATTGCTGGCCATTTGTGAACAAGTGGCTACTCTGGTGGGCTGTGCAGTGATGAGAAGGCTTCTGCAGACTGTCCTCCCCGAAACGAACAAAGCTGGCTGGCAGGGGGAGTATTCTTGGGCAGGTTTTACTGTAGCATTCAAGGAGATTTTTGGCTGGTTGCAGCTTGTCAACTACTAGGATATTTTCATCTGAACACTGGAGTGAAAAAGAAGGGCTAAAGATAGAGAAGAAGCTAGGAAATAGGAAATAAAAAGTTTGAAAGGATCTGCACATCCTTAATAATGAGTGGCTATTCTCATAGTTGTGCAAAGTTTTTGAGCTGCCATGCTCCCAGAGCTGTGTATCATGGGATTAAAAGTGAGGATTTGTCTTGCACTTCCTGGGGCCAGGTGTTAAAAGACACTCAAAATATTTTTATTTTTTTTTCCCTCAAAACTTTGTTTTGCAACCCCAAAATTTTGGTCTGTTTTAGTAGTTGGTGGAGAGAAGTTCCTAAATGTCATTTGCCCTAATTTTCAGTTGTATCTGGTAGGTTTATTCTTCTTACCCTAATCTCTTTTGCTCATTTAGCAAAGTCCTAAAAGGAGTCACTGTGGAACATGGGAAGCTTAACAGAGTCTGCTTCACAGGTCCAGGCTAACCTGCCAAACACTAGTGGGATTTCTTACCAATAGGTGTAAAGTGAGTTACATGGTAGAGGTGTGTGGTGGAGTTAACCTCCTGTTTTGCCATCTGTCCATGGCACAAGCCAGTGGACTGGGTCCCTTTCTTTCAATCAGACGCATTCCTGCATGTTAAGGAAAAGACTGACTGAAGTAATTGATTCTTCAGGTCTGACAGTGACTGCTGTGAAGGACTTTGGGGAGTGGAACTTGGAAGCTGGAGCACTGGTACTTGCAGATGGAGGCCTTTGTTGCATTGATGAGTTCAATAGTATCAAAGAACATGACAGAACCAGTATCCATGAAGCAATGGAGCAACAAACCATCAGTGTTGCAAAGGCAGGGTAAGTCGGATGTTAACATGTGATAAAAATGTAAGATGTCTCTCTTGTATTTACAAGTTGGACGGAGGTTTGTCATGCTGATTAAATATATCTGTTTTCTTTATTGTACTTAATAGTTTTGTTCTTAGCAGTATTATTAAGCTAGATGAGTCAACATTTCAAAGAACACTAGACCAGAGATTGCAAGTGATCAGAATGAATACATAACCATTTCACTGTTTGGTTTTCAACCTACCACTGTAGGCCAGGGCACATTCCTAAGAAGGCTTGGTGTTCTTTTTGTTGATCTTTGCTGAAAGTGCTCATAATAATCATATGTGAAATGAGGAACTCTGTAATTTTTTATTGGAACTAGGAAAGTAGGACTTAATTTCGCTAAAATCCAGTAATATTGCATGGTAACAAAAGAAGACCAACAGATTTCCAGGCTGCTGAATTTTCTATGTTGCACATGACATAAACTCCTGCTTACTTTAAGTTCTTAACTTTCTTTTTCAAAGTAGTGTGTGTTCAAGTCTGCTGTTTCCTTCCCTGCCACTTTGATTTCATATCTTACTCTGTCAGTCATACACAGCTCTTGTCCAGGTCCATATCGTTTCCTGGCTAGTATTGCTGGAATTGCTGCTTAAACAGCATCATCCTTTCCATATTCCACCTTGTCACCTTTAACTCAGTTCTGACTCCAATCACATCTTCTTGGTTTCTGTAACTGATCATGTCCTTCCTCTATTCTGAGCATATCCACTGGAGCTCTCTTTACCCTCTTTGACAGACAGTAGACAAGTCATGTCTCACTCACCTGAGTGATTATTAGCCCAGTAATGCAGCTGGGGATAAATACTTGGAATCAACACGGCCCCATCTACTTAACAAGATGAGGATGTATTTTAGCTGTGTTCTTTGTTGCAGTCAGCTTGGTTTTATAGACCCCAAAGCACAGTTTGCTAACTTGCACATGTAGCCTCAGTTGCTCACTTTTAAGGACTACGTGTGTTGAGGATTTTTTTAGTAGTAACTTTGCACAGACAGGTTAAGCAGTTTGTTGGTTTAGGTCTTATTTTGATGCATAGGAGATAAGATAGGTTGGGTTTTTTTCCCTACTGTTTCATAGAAATCTGTAGTCCTTCCTCTCAGTCATAAAAGAATATAGGATGTGAGGCAGCAGTTACTCAGGAGCTGACTAGAAATAGCTCAGTGACAAATCAAAGTTAGAATACCTCTGCTGCTGCCTTAACGAAAAAGATTACATTTGGACTACTAGAATAAAAATAACCTCTCCCCACAACTAGAAACACATTCCAGGATAGCATGGTTAAGAGGAAGATGGCTGTTTCCCTGGAGGAGCAGTTGATATGGCTGCCATCATCTGGTTTGATTCATATTCATAACATGTTTATATACAGGAAGAAACATAGTTTATATTACACTTTATTTTGCTTTCTTAAAATATATGTCAAGGTAAAATGTTGCTTTCCAGCACTAAAATGTGTTTCTATACTGTATAAATAAGCAAAGTAATACTTATTTCTGAAAAGCTATGTTAGGTTTTACTATTTAAGGACCAGGGAACTTGTGAATGCTCCGTCCCTGGCGGTGTTCAAGGCCAGGTTGGACAGAGCCATGGGTGACATGGTTTAGTGTGAGGTGTCCCTGCCCATGGCAGGGGGGGTGGAACTAGATGATCTTAAGGTCTTTTTCAACCCTAACTATTCTATGGTTTTATGATAGCTGTGTATAAAGATTACTCATGGCAATATTGACTAGTTACTTTTGGCATCCTGATCATTGTCTTTCTGTATAGTTTCTGTTCTTTGAGGAATGCTGTATATGTTATATATTAATACAATAATTGTGTATGTTATTTAGCTGTTATGATCTTTAAGGTAAGATGTGCTCTTTATAACATAAAAATGTGATCCTTTTTAACACTTTAAAATCATTCTCCTACCCAATTTAATTCAGCCATAACGTTCACCGTACTTTTCTTTAGCTTGGTCTGCAAGCTTAATACAAGGACAACTATCCTGGCAGCAACAAATCCGAAAGGCCATTATGACTCTAATGAGTCTGTCTCTGTCAACATAGCTCTTGGCAGTCCCCTGTTGAGCAGATTTGACCTGGTCTTAGTATTGTTAGATACAAAGAACGAGGAATGGGACCGCGTCATTTCATCCTTCATTTTGCAGAATAAAGGTAAAAGTAGTCTTTTTAAATTATAAGTACTTGGGGGAGTGGAGTGTTGGGGGGGGGGGCGGGGGGAGGGCTTTTTTTTTTTTTTTTTAGTAACTTTCCCCATTTTTTAGTTTAGTTGGTTGTTCTTGAGTCTTTCATGTTAATCAGTGCCTAACATTTTTGCTATGCTAGTTGCCTGTGGTATGGTTGTTTTTCAAGTAGGAATAAGATAGATACCACTAATTAATTAGAGATTTTAGCCTGGACCGCTCAGTAAGTAGATAGTTACAATCTTGCACTTTTACATTGCTTCATGTGCAAATCCTACACACCATGCAATTGTACAAACTGTTAATAGGAAACTTAATTCAGACAGAACAAAATTGAGCTCCATGTGCTTCATGGCTCAAAGAATGAACAGTAGTGTTCCCTATATGGAGCTCTGTGCTCTGGAATTAAGGAAGGCAGTGTGATACAGTTTTAACCAGCTCCTTCTCCATCCACTTCAGCAACATGGCCTTGATCTGTGTTTGGGAAGAAGTGGTTAGAGGAAACTTCTTCAGCTAGCTTCCTTTGCTTCCCAAATGTTTCCCTACAAAAATGTTCAGAATATGGCAGGTAGCTTTTGGCTCCTACAAAGTAGAACACCCAGAGGAGACACATGCATTCAGTGTAGCATTTTACATTTTAAGGAATACTGGAGCACTTGGTACTGATTGTACCATCTGGTGGGCAGTAAGTCTGACAGCAGTTCTGTTGAAATTACTGGAGGCTTTACTGTAGATTTTGCTAGGAGAGGGATTGGATGCTGTGTAGAATTCCACACTGGAATTTGACCAAGTCCTTGAAGGCAAGATTACAGACAACTCAGTATGCCCCAGAAATACTGTAATGCATCTTTTATAGTAACCTGTCCATTTAACATGAATGTGTAGGAAAAAGCTTCATGTCTATTGTTACAGAATTACTGACTACAGTTGTAACACAGGTTGCCCAAGCAAATCCGAAAAGCTCTGGAGCATGGAAAAGATGAAAACCTATTTCTGCCTCATCAAAAATATACAGCCAAAATTGTCTGGTGAGAGCAACCTGATCCTTGTACGGTACTATCAAATGCAACGTCAGAGTGACTGCAGAAATGCTGCCCGAACTACCATTCGCTTACTAGAGAGTTTGATCCGCCTTGCAGAAGGTAAAGTGGTGGCAGTTTTATTTTTAGGCAAACAATTAACCTTCATAAAATGAATAGATATGGAGAATAATTACAGCCAGTAAGCAGAGTAGCAGCTTTTCCGTGGAGGTAGAGACAGGTGAATCTTGTATTGTTTTATCTTTCTAATGTAAAGAGACTTGGGGAAGGGTGTTACATTTAGATTATCAAAATCAGTTTTACATTTGCTGTTCTCACACCCATAGTAAAAACTAAAAACACTGGAAGAAATCATATTTGACAGAAAAATCTCAGAAGTTATTTGTATTGATGAAAAGCAATCTCAGGATTTAGTTTACTTCATTTGAGCCAAGTATTTGCTTCTCTCCTCAAATTGATAAAACATCAAAAATAGCATCTTTTTGTTTCCTAAAGAGTCAGTAATCAAGTCGGTATTTTGCAGTGGCTTAAGCATTCCAACTCCTGAGTTCAAATAGTATTTCAGTTACATGAACAAAAACAAAGGAAGCAGTAGGTCTGTGTCTTAACATTACTTTGTCTTACGAAATGGCATGTAAACTATTTTCAGGATGAATTGAAAAGAATGCACTGTATTTTCGTATAGCAATCATAAATGGTCTTTATGCTTTTATATGCCAGTCAGCAGTGTGGTGCTTCCTGCATCAGATACTTACATTTTGTTCTCCATTTGGAGGGAGAAATTATTTAAGGAACATTCCTGACTTTTAGGGATTCACATGCTATTTTGTGTTTCTTCCATTCTTATGTGTTCACATGATTGGGGCTTTTAGTAGCATTTAGTTCTTTCAAGGTATTATATAGATATCTATATATCTGCCTTTCTCTTACTGGTAAAGAACTGTGTTTCTACAGCCACTTAGGAGGAGAGCCTCATAGAGTAAATTCTTTGCATTATACCCATTTACAAAAATCTGTTTTGTTTTGCTGACTTAAGGAAGGAAGAAGAAATAAAATTATTGTAGGGAAGATCATTTTAATACAAAATATATAATATTTAATATAATATGAAATTTGTGACTCAGACCAGTTAGAGGAAGTCAGATTTTTTCTGACCTGTGATGAAAATGAGACTGATTTTTTTACTTTATCATGATGATATGTACCTATGTAGATAAAGGGGTTTTATATCACACTCTCTGTTTCATTTATTTTTGATAGCTCATGCCCGACTGATGTTTAGAGATACTGTGACTGTGGAAGATGCTGTAACTGTGGTATCAGTGATGGAATCTTCTATGCAGGTAAGGTTTCTTGCAGACATTGCCATTGCTGCAGTACCACATTTATATGATTCAGTTTATCATGTAGATATATGCCAGTCCTCTTTTTCGCTCATGGAAAGTAGGTCATCAGAGACCTTGACAAGTCATTTTTAGTCCATCTTGATTACTAAAATTCTTGTACCTTTCTTTTAATAGACTGCAGTCTAAACGAAGTTTTGGCATACTATTGACTTTAATTAATTTATGTTTTAAAGACCTTTAGAGGCAGAAATTGTGTCTATGTCACTGTGTTTAATAGCCTTTTATGGGCTTTTCTTCCATGATTTTATCTTGTCACTCATTAACTAGGTATGAGAGAATCAAATCATTTTTTGGAGTATGTTTCAAACAGTTGCCAGGATCATTTTAAAATATGCCAGTGGTGATACTAAAATTCAGAAATTTTATAAGACTATTTTACTCTGAGAAACCTTAAAATTCCAAAACTTTGGTTGTGCTGAAAGTTGTGCTTTCCAATTATCACATGGATTTGTGTAGCGTTTCTATGTAAAAAGGCATTGAAAAAATGTGGAAGGTTAGATTTTAGTTTAACATTATTAGGATGTTGAATGTAAAGAAAAAGCAACACATTAATAAAAGAAATGAAAATCGAGTGGACACTATTTTTAATGGAAATGCAGAAAATAATGCAGACACTGTTACTTCAGATAGAATATTTTTAAGGGAAATAAATCTTCATTCTTTGGAACTGAAAAAAAATAAAAATTACCTTGAGCAGATTATCCAAAGTTTTGGATGAGGTTTTCTAGTATGCCTGAAGTATTTGGGTTTGGCTCTGTCCAAGATGGTGTACTTCACTGCACAGATGACTGGTCTGATCCAAAATGGTATTTCCTATGTTTCTGTGTAGGTTGATACAAATATATTCAAGTTAAAACAATTTTATATAGCACCTGTTAGCTCAGTGGACCTGAAAGACCTTTGCAGGAGTAGATATGACAAAGTCACATGGCGGGTAGGCACTTGTGATCTCCCTTGCTCTTTCAATGAGAGTTGAGAGACTAATTGCAGCTCGTGCCACAGGTAATGTACTGCACCATACTGCAAATGGAATTTGTCTCAAAAATTCTACAGGGCCTGACCTTATTAAGTAGCAAAAGATTATTTCACTGTCTGCTGCAATTCATCTTGCACTGTTTTGAAGAGCTCAGCTTCTCAATGACAGCACTGCATCTAAGTTAAAGTAAGAAGCAGTGCTAATATATCCAGTTGAAACAGCAGAAGATATCACTTAAATGTTCATTAACTGTAATTAAAACTGTAATTAGCTACATGGGAATTTGGTGGGATGGTGGTTTCAAAGCAATGTGGTTTGGGATGTAAGAAGTCTGTTTCATAACTGATCAAAAAGTGGAATGTATGTATATGATAATTATGAATATGTATTGTCATCTGTGTCTCTCTCTACCTCATCAGCATGAATAAATGTAAAATAATTGGTTTAACTGTGGGTCACTTTTTCATATTTATGCAGCCCTGCCCTGAAGGGCTGCAGTTTGCATAACAAGCATCAATCTAATAAGAGTCAGTGAGAAATCTGCCTGAATTATGACTGCAGAAGACTACCTGGGAGTAGTTGTTATGCTTGTCATATTTGCTCCACTCTTCACTGTTCATGAGCAAGTAGACAAATGTGTTCATTTTTGCAAGAAATTTGAGATCTATTTGAGGCCAAGTTCTACTTTCCTCCTGGAAAGTGTAAACATATCACCGAAGCAGTTTCTTTTTCAAGGAAGTAATTTATTTGTTTTATTAAAAAAAAAAACACCAAAACAATAGAAGTAAGATGCAAAAGTTTATTTTCAGAAATTGATTCCTTCTCTAGAAAAAAAAAACCCACACCAAGAATTTATATCATAATAATTATTATTATTATAAGAATTTATTTATATATTATATATATCCTGTGTTTCTGATCTGATTGTCAGTCTGTAGAATGAGGTTGTAAATGGGGAAGTATCAATGCCATTCTTGAAGCACTGGCTGCTCAGCAAACCCTATCTTCAGCGTGTCTTTTCAACTTCTACAAAGTGTCATATTATATATGCCAATAGAAAATAAAAGTTCACAGTTCTCAGGTCAGGTATTTCTTTTGAGCCCCTTGGGAGGAAATACTACCACATTTTCATCACCAGCCTAGGTCATTGGAGGGTTTTGTTTCATCCTCTAATTCACTCTTATTTTTCTCTTTCCTAATTTGTCTTTGTGAGTATATCCTATTTTCCCCTGGCTTGATCTTTCATTTCCCTCATCTACTTTTTGTAGATATTGTCTCCCTCCTTCTCTTGGTCATGTTTTGATCCTTGTTTTATTCCCTTTCCAATCCCTCTCCTTTTACTCCCGTTTTACATTTTACTGGAACAAGTTGCCCAGAGAGGTGCTGGATGTGCTATCCACCATCTTAAAAATCTGAACATGCACGAGTCCATGGGACCTGATCAAATCCATCCACGAGTCCTGAAGGAGCTGGCAAATGAAGTTGCTAAGCACTGGCCATCATATTTGAAAAATCATGGCAGTCAGGTGAAGTTCCTGATGACTGGAAAAGGGGAAATATAACCCCCATTTTCAAGAAGGGAAAAATGGATGACCCAGGGAACTACAGACCAGTCAGTCTCACCTCTGTGCCTGGCAAAATCTTGGAGCAGATTCTCCTGGAAGGCATGCTAAGGCACATGAAAAACAACAAGGTGCTGGTGACAGCCAGCATGGCTTCACCAAGGGGAAATCCTGCCTGACCAATTTGGTGGCCTTCTACGATGGGGCTACAGAACTGATGGACAGGGGTAGAGCAATTGATGTCATCTACCTGGACTTGTGTAAAGCGTTCGACACTGTCCTGCATGACATCCTTGTCTCTAAATTGGAGAGACATCAATTTGATGAATGGACCACTCGGTGGATAAAGAACTGGCTGGGTGGCCACACACAAAGAGTTGTGCTCAATGGCTCAATGTCCAGCTGGAGACCAGTAACGAGTGGTGTCCCTCAGGGATCAGTGTTGGGACTGGTCTTGTCCAACACCTTCGTCGCTGACATGGACAGTGGGATTGAGTGCACCCTCAGCAAGTTTGCCAATGACACCAAGCTGTGTGGTTCGGTTGATACACTGGAGGGAAGGAATGCCATCCAGAGGGACCTTGACACGCTTGTGAGGTGGGCTGATGCCAACCTCGTGAAGTTTAACCATGACAAGTGCAAGGTCCTACACCTGGGTCAGAGCAATCCCAGGCACAGCTACAGGCTGCACAGAGAAGAGATTCAGAGCAGCCCTGTGGAGAAGGACTTGGGGGTGCTGGTCAATGAGAAAATGAACATGAGCCGACTTCAGTGTGTGCTCATAGCCCAGAAAGCCAACTGTATCCTGGGCTGCATCAAAAGGAGTGTGACCAGCAGGTCGAAGGAGGTGGTCCTGCCCCTCTACTCTGCTCTTGTGAGACCTCACCTGGAGTATTGTGTGCAGTTCTGGTGTCCTCAACATAAAAAGGACATGGAATTGTTGGAACAAGTCCAGAGGAGGGCCACGAGGATGATCAGGGGACTGGAGCACCTCCCGTATGAAGATAGGCTGAGAACACTGGGTCTGTTCAGCCTGGAGATGAGCAGGTTGCGTGGAGCAGCTTTCCAGTATCTGAAGGGGGCCTATAGGGGTGCTGGGAATGGACTCTTCATTAGGGACTGTAATAATAGAACAAATTCTAACGGGTTAAAACTTAAACAGAGGAAGTTTAGATTGGATATAAGGAAGAAATTCTTTCCTGTTAGGGTGGTGAGGCACTGGAATGGGTTGTCCAGGGATGTTGTGAATGCTTCATTCCTGGTGGTGTTCAAAGCCAGGTTGGACAGAGCCTTGGGTGAGGTAGTTTAGTGTGGGGTGTTTCTGCCCATGGCAGGGGGGTTGGAACTAGATGACCTTAAGGTCCTTTCCAACCCTAACTGTTCTGTGATTCTATTCTCTGATTATGTAGCAATTTCTGGTTCTAGAGACTCCACTGACTTTCACTGTTTCTCTCACGGCACTTGATACTCATGCTGTTCATTAGTTGTGTTGAGCCTTACGGATTAGACAGGAGTGGTAAAGGCTAGCCAGTATTGGCAAAATAGAGGGTTTGTGCTGTGGTTGTTTTTTCTTTTTTCCCAAAGAGCGATTATCTGCAATGGTATTCTAGATTATCTGTTGTGGAATAAATCATTTTGCGCAGATGCTGTGCTCAAAATACTTAATTTTCACAAGATACAGCAAATTTGTCCCAGATTCAAATCACTTGCTTTCTAGAGTTATTCCTGAACAGGTAGTTACCCTTAAAGAGCTATTCAGAAATATTTTTGCTGGTCAATTTACCCTGTGCTGACAAGCCCTAATACCCAGGTCTTTCAATTTAAATAATTAGACAAAGCTAATGGAAACTTTCAGCAGTCAGAACTTCTTCAGTTATAAAAGTTGCTCGTGGCAGAATTTTGATAAGGTATTTGGAAAACTGATTCAATGCTAATTTCCATTTTTAGTTCTGATGTTCTCAAGCCTTAGGTGGATTTTCCATTTTTTGTATTAATAAAAATAAACCAGTGCTTGTAAACTGCAGATTTGATAATATAATTAATAGCTTTATGTGTATGACTAGCTTTGCCTGTGTGAGCAGCCCTAACAGTGTGAATAAAGTTATTCAGTAAATACTTGATCATTTAAGCTTTAAAAAGTCCAGGGAACAATTTTGTGTGAAATGGTGTCTGCTGTTAAAATTTGGTGCTGATTTAGAAATATAGCTTCTTTTTATTTTTTTTTTTTTTTTTTAATCTTTTTTGGTGACATAGGGTGGTGCACTTCTTGGAGGCATCAATGCCTTACACACCTCATTCCCTGAAGATCCAATGGCTCAGTACCGTACACAATGTGAACTCATATTGGAGCGATTGGAGCTGCAAGGTCTTCTGCACAAAGAGCTACAAAGACTTGACAGGTATAATGTGCAAAGCAACAAAATAATAGCAAAGAATAATTGTTTGGCAATAGTATCTGGAGAGGGTCTAAAAGTAGATTCTGACATTGGGAAGGGACTTTTTCTTTAGAGGACATGGATAAGCAGGGAGAGTGTTTTAAAGTAGCACTCTGAGATCATTGCAGGATCATTTCTCCTTCTGGGTTGTGGAATTTATAAAGAATTTAATAATGTTTCAGTCAGTTTCCAACTCATATCTCAATTCTGTGCTTGGATAAATTTCAGTGGAGCTTCTTAGGGTCAAAATTCCAGATTCTGTAGCTGAGCAAATAATTTTATATAACCTTTTGTTACCTGCTTGATAAAATACAACAGATCTGCTTCATATTTTTTAAGCTGCCTTCTGTATTGAGCTGGTCAGACTGCTTCCCTTTCTGTTAATGGAAATTATTAGCCTGAATCAAAGTTCGCTTCTTTCAGTCTTTCCTTTCTATATGCTGGAAGTTTCACTGTCTGCTCCTTAATTTTCAGGTCACAGCAATAATCTTTAGAAAGTCTATTTGCTGTTATTAATAGGAAACTTTTAACATACTGAGGCTGAGAGGAAAACACTAGGATTGCGAAGGAAATAAAATACAAAAATACATCATTTGTTTCATGAAATGAGATTAGGCTCTAAATAAACTCATCCTTCTCATTATTAAAGGAAGAGAAAAGATGAATATTATCAAAGCTAATGCAAACAGCTGGGAAAGTACACTTTTTCTTTAAATATTTTTCAGACTTTCTTTGTAACTCATAAGAAGAACATTTTAAATAACCACAGAGGCAGTAAAAGCAGATCAAAGTGGGATATCTCCAACAGACAGACAAAAGCTGGTTTTAGTAAAAACAGAGGTGTTCATAAGAGTTCATAGACAGGTAGGATGGTATTGGGGATCATATAGCAGAGGAACTGTTTACAGTACATAGGAATCATTTCACCTACACTAATGCAGTCACTTTTGGAATGGAATGTGACTGTTCTTCTCTCATAGATAGAATCACTGGTTTGCAAGAAGTAAAACGCTATCTCCCTTGGAAATTATACGTTTAGGTACAATAGACAGAATATCAGCTATACTGAGATTGGAGAACCCTCATTCTAGCACCTCTTGTTTTGGAGGGCCCTGAGGACATTAATAGCCACAGACAGTGATAATTAAGTTATGTAGGTAATCTGTGATGTTTTTCCTCTTATTACGTGGAGGTTTTGATATGTTGAGTCCATAGTGATTATGAGAGAAAACCACCAGCAACCATAATTCCAAGTAATACCAAGGTTTTCCATTCTGATAACTCATTTAAGGCTTTGCTTTGCTCAGGATAAAATCTAATGAGGTTCTTGTTGTAGGTGTGCTTATAGAATGTGTAATCCCTAAGGGACTCTAGCAATGGCTGTAAGTAGGGCAAAGCTGTTAGTTTCTTTTTCTGTTTGTCTCCCAAGGAAATGAAGTTTATGTGGTCGTTTTCTCTGTCCACCTGCTTATCGTTTACTGGGGACACTAAATTCTGCTGCTTACTGTAGAAGGTGCTGAAAGATCACAGACTGCAACACCAACTTTTGGAGCTATATGTGAAACTTGCTAATACACTTCCATGGCCTACGTTATTTGTAGCTCTTCACCATTCATACATAACTAAACATCACTAATGCAATAAAGAAAAAGAAAGAAAAATAACTATTGCTTATTTTTTATTTTCAATCCATAGATTACAAAAGGAAAATCCATGCCACCTGCAGCCTGAACAGACAGGTTTCAATCCTATTACAGGATGCTTGAACAAGGACACATTTGGGCAGTCAAAGCAACTACCTCAGTCAGAACCTTCAAATCAACAAGAGAATAACTCCAAGCCAAAGCCTTCTTTGCCCGAAGACAACTGTGAAGGGAGTATACATCTAGATCCCTTGTGCAGCCCAGCATATGTTCATGATAAGAATGCAAACCACTTAATCAAACATAGTAAGAGAGATGGTGAAGGCAGCTTGGCGTGGTTTGACAGCTTGGAAGAGAGCAACACTGATGCTGAAGAAACTTTCAAGAAAAAGTCTCCGGTGCCCAAGATACCTCCAAATAATTTGACTTCAAAAGCCCTGTGTAAAACATCCTCTTCTGAAGAAAGGAGTGCTTCAATACCAAAAAAGGAAAATGGAATGAAAGAGTCACTAGCAACTGTGAATCTACATGCTCCTTTGGAACAAGACGAAGTTGCCAAGATAAGCAGGACAAGGACTGAAGAACACAACTCTTCTTCTTCAGAAGCAAATACTGAAGACCCAGCATCACCAAGTGCTAGTGTGCAGGATTCAGTTATTACACAACGGGTTTCAAAAAGCTGTCAGAGACTGCGCACTGAGAAATCACATGGATTCTTTACAAGTACACAGGACCCTGAGGCAAAGGCCATTCCTACAGTATTACCTGCATCTGGCCTTTCAGATTTTTCAAGTGATGCAGATTCTGTGCTACCGGAAGAAAAGAACAGTGTATGTGGAGGAGCAAAACCAGCAACAGTTTCCATGAGAAAGCGAAGTAAAGGTCAAACAGTGAAGGAAACAAATGTAGCAGGTTCCCATGAGCCAGAAATCCTTGACAGTGAAAGTCCTCCAGCCGCTAAACTAGCTAAATTTACTTTCAGAGCAAGAACAAAACTTAATCATTCTTCAGAGAAGAAAAATGAAGACTTTTCTCTTTTTCAGAGTGAAACTATTTTTAAGCCTGGAGAGCAGCTCCAGGGAGAGCAGCTGCTAGAGGAATGCTGCCCCCCTGAGAAATGTAATATGACATTAAGTCGCTTAGGGAAAGCCCGTGTGGAAAAACGATCAATTGATAATAAAGGGAGAGAAGAGCAACAGAATCAGGCCTTAGGGAAAGAGATCAGAGGAAATGCAACAGTACACTCTCATGTCAGGTTTGATGCTATGTCATCTCCACCCACTGAAAAGAAAAAGGAGGGAGAGGAGAAGCTGAGTGGCCCAAGCATGGGGAAGGTGTGCTCCAGCACATTAGCCAAGCTGTCAACATTCTCCTTTGCACCACATCCTGAGTCACAATTGGCAACCTCATCTACCATTAAGGGTGACACTAACAAAGAAAGACATAGCCACTTGCACATGAGTAATCCTAGCAGAAGGAAGAGTTTTGCATTGGAAAATGCTAGTAAAGCCAGTGTGGTCACACAGAAATCTCTCTTCTCAATAGCAGAACTGGATGATGCTACCTTAGATTTTGACTGGGATGAAGAGGTTAGGAAAGGCCCAAGCACGTAACATATATCCTCCAAATTACTTGGTGTGCAGTTCTCCTGAATCTCCATCCTTCTGTCAATTGTATCCATAATTTACAAAGTATTTAAAACCAATCATCCTGGACCTCTGTTGATAACAATGAACATACTTTCTTTAAATGCTTTATACTTTACATCAGACTGTGTATACCACAGGACTGATGTGTCTTTCAGTTCCCAAGACTGTGTATCAGTTGACTCCTTTGATTGACCTGATGTAACCGAAAAACTTATATGTTCATATACCTGGAGTATAGTGAATCTTGCAGAAAAGCAGGCTTAATTGACTGTTATCCTTTAGTTCCTGTAGCGGTTAGAGCTCTGCATGATTCAGATTGTCCTTCTGAATGACTGTGCCACTTTAGAAAAATGATGATGCTAAAGCTATGTCATTATATTTTGCTTTTGTATATATGCTATTTGTCTCAGTGTGGTTAACAATATCATGAGTTATCATCATGCTATGGTAAATATTTCTGTATTAGTGTCATTGTGACAATTTTGCTGTATCTCTGGTTACTGTGCTGGTTACAGTTGCCACTGCTGATGTTGAAGACATGGATCAAGAGCTTTTTGTTTCTGGAGTTTTTTTGTTTGGTTGGTTTTGGTAGGGTTTTGTTTGTTTGGGGATTTTTTTATTTTAAACACACTGGTTCAGATCTGTGTCTATATTCTGAGTCATTTTATCAAAACCCAACTCTGTAATAAACATACAGTTCTCCACTGCAGAGACACAAAATTCACGTGATTGAATGGGAGTCTTTAGTAACTTAACTTTCACACATATAAGCTACACTTCAAATCTAGCAGCATGGTGACGAGCTACCCTAGTATAGCTTGGCACTGACTCAGATCATTTTTACTTGACTATTTTAATTGTGATTAGAGTTCTGCTGTATCAGATACGTAGTTTCTCTTCTGTAGTATGCTGCATTCTATGTCATTCATTTGCTAATGGAAAATTAATTTGCTAATACATTACAGGTTTACAGAAAAGGTAAGCCTTACATTTCTTCCAGTGACTTGCCTGGTATGTTTCTTCTGTATTTCAGTCCTCCACAGAATATTGTTGTTATTACCTGCAAGGTAAACAGAGAATGAAGTGATTGCTTACAGCACAGTAAATCCTTTGAGAGGCTTGCTAGCACAATGAACATTTTATTTTCTTATGATTTGATTAAATTTGGAAGTAGGTCCATTGAAACCAGGTGAGTTGAAATACTGCAAGATTTCAGAGAATGAGGGAGTTTGAGGCCCAAGTACTTTGGTGTGATACAGTGAAATCATAACTAATTCTAGTAGTTGGCTTACTATGGAGAGTTTGGGAAAATGACAGAAACATTACTGTTCAGACTGATTGTGTGGTGGTTCCTCCACTGAAAACATGACATCAAAAGAAGTGGAATTTATCCACCTCTCTCTGAGAGCACAGAGACATCCCATTTTGTTCATTTCTCACAAAGATGTAAGTAAGGGTTGCAGTGACCTGCACTCATGATCTTACTCCTGTGAAAATCAGAAATTCTCTACAGGAAGCTGTATCTATGCTGAAACTGGTGAAAGGCCAAGAATCCTGCAGCTATTGAAATTTATTATGATCTTCAGACTTGAATTTTCACAGGCCAGAACAGTTTTCATCACCACTGGAGCTGCATCAGCCCCTTACATGGTGGTCTCATTTACAATCAAAAATCCTCCTCACTAGCTGTTTGGTTTGATGGATGTTACTAGCTGGCCAGTGCAAAGGCAGAACATAGCTTCTGGAGCCCCATAGTCCAGCATCGCAATTTTTTTTTTTTTTTTACCATGTAAAATGATACAAAAAAAAAAAAAAACAGTTGAGAAATTTCATCCACCTGTGCTGGAAATGTTTTATTTCTCACTTCCTTATGAGATCAGTAGCTAGGGTTCTCATCTAATGCAATTTGCTATGTAAAGTTATGGGACGAGATGCTCCCAAGAGCTGTGGGATCTTTTCCTTAATACTCTTTTGTGGGAGGTTGGTTGATTTTCTTCCCTCTACCCAGTGGAAATTAGAACTCTCTTGAAATCAGCAGAGTCAAGATGGCACAAAATTGGGGTGCGAGTCAAGCTCAAAATTTCCTTCATAGTCCCCATGCTTATGCTGTGTTTGAGAAGGTTCTGGTTTTGTTATATTCTGCTTGTTTCAAAGTTGTTGCCCTGTAATATCTGTGTGATAGCTGGGGAAACTACACAATGAAGTGGAGCAGCTGTATTGCAGAACAGCTGAAATGCCAGGTAATGCAGTCAGCTGTCCTCCTTACTAATGAAACCTCCAGTCTCATGAAGCAAGGAAATCCCCGGTTAGCACCAACTGAGAGAACTGGGTGCTCACAGTCCTGTGGTGTCCTTAAGTCTGTGTATAGATTGTTGCAGCTGAGTAAATAGAAGACAATTAAACCAAGTTTATTTTTTCATAGATAAAGTGTTTCCTCTGATCCAGCAGTAAAACTCAGCCTAGAATACTGAGGTACTGTATGTCCCACAGCTTTTCCAGTCATAAAATACTAATCACATTTGCGTTCCTGTTCAGCAGTGTGGCTGACAAAATACTGCTAGATCCCTAATTTTGTATTTAATTCATCTGGTTTGAGTTGAAATCTGCAGTTGAACTGTTCTTTTAAAGCACAGTCAGAGCTGTGGGCAAGCTGGCAACTTGCTGGAGACTAGATCTCTTAGGGTAGGCTCCCTGATGTGCCTTAGTGCCTGGTGGGCTCAACCAGCTCAGTATACTGCCAGACCTTTGGGATACATTCTTTCACTGCCTTAGAACAGTATGGCCAAGCAAGGTATATGTATATTGACCTACCTCAACTTAGAGGAGGCTAAATGTGTGAGCTATTTTACAGGCTTGCTGAAATGCCCCAACAGCAAGAAGAAAGTTGCAGCAGCTTCTGTTACAGCATGTCTAGAAAGGACCTTCAATGCTTAGCAAACAGAACCAGGAAGGATAAAGAAATACCATGGCATCAGAGCTCCTTGTTAACATGGGCAGATTAGCCCACTTAAACCAAGCTTTTCACTAGTAAGTGCAAACTTTGTACATTAAGTCTTTAACGCTCGCCATTTCAAGGCCTGATTTGCAGATATCCTGAGTACTTAACAGCTGCAACTTAAATCAATGAGACATGTAAGGTGCAGTGTTAATTATAATTTTGCTCTTCTGACTTAATTTGTCTCATATCCTTGGTTGTGAAATGGCCCCTTCAAGAAATGGTAGTGGGTGTTCTCACTTAAGGTACCCTGTGTTCTGGGGGTGGAGGAAACAAGAAAGGGATACAGTTTCAAACCTCTTCCTGCTGAGAACATCTGAGAACTAAAGACCTCCCACATGCTAGCACCTCTCTTTACTAAATTACAAGTCAATCTTGCACCCTTCAAAACAATACTTTTGAGTTCATCAGGACAAGTTTGATAATGCCAAGGAGACTTTTCCAGATCAGTGAAGGAGTTTTGTCTGCAGAGCTTTGCAGCCCTGGAAAGAGCATGGCTGGGTTGCTAACTGCCACTTCTATATGTTTTAGGTATCATTAACAGGAAAAAAGAAAAAAGCACTGTTGTCCTTTCAAATTGCCTGCAAAGAGGTCCTGGTGACCTAAGTGTGTTAGGTAAGCAACCAAAGAATAAATTTGGAAGAGCAGATACTGTTGAGATCTTTCTTTACCAGACCAGTTGAAATAATACTGTTGTGGTATTGGTATTGCTTCTGATTCATAGCATGAACTTAGAGCATTCAAGATAAATGGGAAGCACACAGTAATAAGAAAATTACACCTGCTGCTGATTCACTCTCTCCCTCACCATTGCCATTGCTACAGAACCCATTTATCAGTGCTTTGGCAGGAAACATTGCTAACTTCGTTTGCCTTTTAAACCAACTTCCCCCACAAATGGTCATATGGTTAAATGGCTTTGGAGCGCTAGAATAGCCTAATGATAGGAGGATTTAATCCATTCTGGCAGTGAGAGTCTTCTGGGCTAACCTACAGATTAATTTCCTCTGCCGATGATTTGTGCAGTCCAATGAGCAGTTAAGTCACTTCCTGCCAGCCTGCCTTCCTGGCCAGGCACAGAGCCATTATCTCCTTTAATACTTGCCTCTCTTGAGTTTATGATCTTATAAAATCCTGTCCAATGTGTCTTCTCAGAGTGACTATATGCAAATATGTATCAAGCTGATTATTACTGTTGAGTACACTATTTTGTTAAGCTGTGTTTTATCTTTATGAGTGTTGTTCATTAAAGGCAAATACAAATGTTGCTGTCTGAAAACCCGGTTGAACCAAACCTTGAAGCCACTGATTCTAGCAGCACGTTGATCATGTCCTTCTTTGTGAGCACAATGTTGTTAGCTATTCAGTGGCCAGACTCCACTGCCTTGATTGAAACCAAATTTTGTCAATTCAGCATGGGACAAGATCACAGTTTTGCTGTCACTGTCCCATGGTAGTGTTCTACTAGATGGCCCATGCAGACATGATGATGAGTCAAAGGGAGGTGGAAAGCAAGAAACCCAATGATTTAATTATATTTTTATATCATTTAATTATATTTTTCTGTGCTCACTGCCAGCTAGTCTTACTCCAGTTTATATGCTGCATTTCATTCTAAATAACTAGTAAGCAGGAAAAAAACCTCACCTAAATAGCTGAATTTACTTGTTGCTCCTATTATTCTCTTGACAGTAGTTTGTATGTCGTGATTCTTGTCAGACATGAAGATTAATGTGTTAAACATCATAGTGTGATGTGCACTAGGATTACAAACCCAAGTAAACTAAAGCCAAAGGCAAAGCCAATGTAAACTGAATTGAGACTTCTAATTAGTGGATGCCATGTGAACAGATCTCCCAGGTGAGGACACGTAACATCACATTCTAGAGGGAATGTATTTGTTGATGAGAAGATGAGGTAAACAGAGTATTAAGTGCTCTGTATTTCATGAGAATGAGGCAATAGCTTCATTAATAATGAATGCTAATTATGTCATCTCCCTTAGGTATTTGGTATGCCTTTGCTTATCAATACTTTCCTTCCTGTTAGACAGAAGAATGTTAATAGTTCCAAGGAATAACATTGTCCTTTTCTGAGTAAAGAGCACAGCTATTTTACAAAAAAAAACTGAAAAAATGTTTCTTATCAAGTCTGATTATTGTGAGCAAAAATGTGTAATTACAATTGCACCCATAAGAACTATAGGTACAATTGTATAACTGTATATACACCATAGTGTGTATATATGTAACAAATGCATATTGTGTAATCAAATACTATTGTACAAATAAAATGGATGATTGCAATGCAACTTAAGAAGAGATAGCTTTTGAAGCAATGTAGTCATGAGATAGTTACAATAAGGTTACATAAAAAGGCAAGGAAAGAAGTGTATGTGTCACCAAAGTCACCAATGGAAAGCTCATACAAGTAAAGCCTACATGACTGTGATCACTCACAAGGTGTCTGACATCTTCTGAAGAGCAGATACCATGTTCTAAATCCCCTTGATGCTTCTGTCAACATTATTATAATTCTCTACTCCCTGGCAACTGAAGGCAGGGGTGAAGAACAGTGGGAGCTGCAAGTTCCCAGATGTAGTAGTATTCCATGTTCAGCAGTATGCTTATATTGTTCATTTTCAGTGCCAAATACTAGGTGAGCACACCACATATTTCCCGAAATGTTGCTTGCCTTTGTTCTGAAGTTTTTTGCTTCTCCATTTAAGGCACCTACTTGCCACAAGGCATCGTTCATCTGTCAGAGCAAAACATCCCACAGAAGAGAAGTAACACCTGCAGACCTTCAGCGTGAGAGAGACAGCAATTTGAGCAGTTGCACCTGCAGTTGTGCTTCTAGCCCATAGCAGTAGTCTGGAAGCAATGATTAAGTTCAAGGAAGCATGCAGCTTCACTTGCACTCTGCACTACTATTGGACAGCAGCGTTACTCAATTTCCTGTTTCATGGAGATGTGGAGGTGTAAAAATATCCATCTTTGACAGCAAAGGTGTCTGTGCACTAGAACAATCCTTTTTTAAGAGGTCTTTCAGGTTACAGATTGATCTCAGAAACAGAAGGCTAACTGTTAGGAGAGAGCAGTACCCACTAACAGCTCTAAAATTCATCAGGGTGAGCATCCCATGGTGGACAGGAACCCAGAGTGGTAGGAGATGCCAGCTGACATAGTGACTCGCACATCAGCAGAAGCAATAAGTCATGTGCTCCAGCCCAGCCCATGGATTTGGACCCATCCTGTGCTGTCAAGCAAGCAGGTAGGGACAGATGTGTGCTGAGGACTATAGCAATGCAGCCTTGCTGCAGCTGGCACTGTTTTCTCACAAGTACTATACTTAGGCAAGCAGCCTTGGCTTTCATTTTGGCAACACCTAGAGCTAGTTATGGCCATGGGAAACTTCAGAACTATAAAACATGAGAGCTAAAAGTACATGAAAAGCTGAAAGAGTCTGCTTTTATATTTAGAGGTAGGATAATCCCCCCTCTCAACTACGGCAAGTTAACTTTTTTCTTAAAAGAATACTTTTTTATGGTGTCTGGTTTACACTTTCTGAATATTTGTGACTGTCAGCTCTGCCCCACTATATAGCTAGAGATCAACAGCACCACTGAAAGATCTTTGCCTTGTTTAAATAAATAAGAAAGACCCAAGCCAAACTCATTTTAAATATACCACAAAATATTAGGAAGATTGAAAACTTTAAAACCACTAGTAGGTCTTCCAGTTTCTGCAATAATCAGAAGGCATATTTCCAGTGACTTCAGTAGATAATTTTCCAATCACCTTTACAAGATTCAGCTCAGCAGCATATATTTATGGGTCCATTATCCTGCTATCAATATTCAGAACTAAGTAGCCCTATAATCTTTTCAAAGAAACCTTTTCTTGAAGCAAATGGAACTGAAAATACACTGTTCTCTCAGTGAACACAGAAAATAGAACTGGGGTTTTCCCCCTGTATTAGTGATTAAAAAATATAAATTGATGGCTTGGCTTCGCAAGCAAAGATTTGGGAAGGGCTTTAACCACACTTACTATAAGCATGATGACCAAGGACAAGTGGCATATGCAAATCTGGTTGGAAAAAAGGGTGCTTAGGCACCTTTTTAGGTGAGGCACAGCTTGCACAGAACTGGCCCCACCCTTTAAACCTGAGGTTTAACTGCCACAGCCTAGCTAGCTAGGACGGTGACAGCAAGGTCCTCAGGTCGTAGGTTTTGTAAGAGTGTCCTTCTCTTTGATGGAAGATCTTACAAGGCTAGACGAGCTCCATCAGCCTGGGTTTGAAGATAGGAGTTTTCCTTCTCCTATGAGGAAGGCCTGTCTTCACTAATGAAGATTCAGGAAGGGCTTTAACCCGCACATTTTGAACAAGACTGTCACTTCCTGGGTCAATCTCAAGCGATCGATGATGCAACAGCACAACATCAAGCATCTAAGAAAAAAAAAAGTGCATGGGATTCTATGATTCTATCTAGGTGGGAAACTGACTTAGAGGCGTTCAGTCATAAGCCCGCAGATGGTTACCTCACACCAGTGGCTCCTCAGCCAAACTTTGTTCAAAAGTTGAAAGTTAAAGTTCCATATTCAATCACCTCTCAGTGGTGTCACTGGAATGATGATATAATCTAACGTAATCATTAGATTTGAAATGATGCTCTCCTGTTAAGTGCTATCTTGATTTAATCAGCTGTTCCTGTAATTACATTATGGCTCTCCCATTAGTATTTTGACAGCCTCATTGAGGGCTGTATACCTCCCCTGTTACATTTTTTTATAGGCTACAATTAGATGTGCAGACCTTAGGTTAGTTGGAATTTATTGCTGCTTAACTGCAAAAAACATTGGGTTAACTACAAGAAAACAAGAAAAGTTCTATAATCTATTTTCAGACCCTTTGAATCCATTCAGAAAATGCTTGAGCATAATGAAATTTTATCCTTTAAAACTATTTTATATTAATTACAAAAAAAAAAAAGAAAAAAAGGTCAGAGTAGAAAATTATTTTTGCAGGAGGGTTGTTGCATGCATTGCAAACGTATGCCCAGAAGGGCTTGAGTCTCAGATTTGATCCCATGCACTTTGGAGCTATTCTGCAAACTCACCTGTGGATAGCATGCCTAGTGCAAGGCAACAGGTGGTAAGATGCTGCCTATCAAAATGGAGAGGTTCGTTTTAATCTCTGATAATCTGGATTAACAGCCCTAAAGTTATAAACCAAGTGAGAAAATTGATACCCACCCCCAACCCCTGAGCTCCCTTTGAAGGTAATGAAGACAAGGACACTTGAGCAGTACCTTGGACATAAGCTGTTTCTGATGTCTGACTGTGTTTTCTCTCATTTGTTTGTTTGGTTTTTCTACATATGCACCTGAAGTACCCATGTGATTGTGTTGTGTGGCACATTGAGCCTGTATCATGGTTTAAGCCCAGGCTGTAAATCAGAACCACACAGTGCACTTGCTCACTCTCCCCTTTCTTCCCACCCCCCCCACCCCCAATCGAAAGAATGTAACTCCCATGGGTTGAGATAAGAACAGCCCAGTAACTAAGGTGTAACACAAACTACTGCTGCTACCACCAATAATAATAATGATAAGGGAAATAACAAGGGAAGAGTATATAATACCACCCGCCGATATACAGCCTGATCAAGCAGTGAGCCAGCCCTTCTGGGTAACTCTTGGTTTACATCCCGGGCATGACGTGCTGTGGTATGGAATACCTCTTTGGCTAGTTTGGGTCAGGTGTCCTGTCTCTGCTTTCTCCCAGCTTCCCCTCCTCCCTGGCAGAGCATGAGACTCACAAAGTCCTTGGTCAGACTAAACATGAGCAGTAACTAAAAACATCGGTGTTATCAGTGCTGTTCCCAGGCCGAAAGTCAAAACCACAGCACTGCACCAGCTACTAAGAAGGAATAAAAATGACTGCTACTGCTGAACCCAGGACAGCCTGGTTTCAGCTTAGTGTAACAAACTCTGAAATTCTGAGTGCCATTTACATACATGGCAAGAAAGAAATACTTTGAATGAAAGTGAGGGAAGTTTTAGACCACATAATACTTAATTAAATAATCTGTATAAAGGTGTATAAAACCTAATTTCTTGCTGGTGTGTGCTTGCACTATCTCATGCAGCATTTTCACAGTGTCTTCTCCTTGGTTTACTTTGTCTATACTTAGTAAGGCAGACTGACAGATATATTAAAGTAGTCACAGAGCACGAGTGCACACCTATTAGGAGTTCAGGGAAGAAAGGAGCAATAGGGGCATATGCTTCCATTAAATGGTTCCATGCATACACTATGCATGCAACTAGATTTAGAAGATGAAACATTTTCCCTCCTTGTTAGAGAAATTACAGATTTTTCTCCAGTGCAATATCAACTATCACAGACACATGCTCTGATAAGCAATGTAACATCTTTTACGTACAACATCACGTTAAATGAATCCTTTAAGTAACAATGACCTGTCGGAGAGAAGAGCAAGCAGTTATGAGTGAAACCTGATGTAGAGCCAGCAGAGGGAGCTCTAAAATTTAGC